CTCATTCTGCCCCGACATGGACTACGTCGACCCGACCAGTGGCGCCTACCATGGCGACACCGGCTACCCTTCTTACGGCGCCTACTCCATGGATTACAACAGCAGCATCAGCCACGATTACCGGTCGCGTTACCGGGGCGGGAGTTTCAAAGATCGGACCAGAAGCCAGAAAAAATCGCCAGAGACCATCGTTAACCCCGCTCACTTCTACCACCACGAACCTCAGTACCACCAAACACAACATTCGAAACCGGCAGCAAAAATGTCCACCCGCTCCCAGTCGTCCAACGGCTTGGACGTGAGGGTATCACGTGAGCCGCTGGACGAGACCAACGACCAAGAGGAGCCCCCCATGACGACCACCCAAGCCGCCGCCGCCGTGTCCGGCTCCACCGTGACGCGGATTCTGCGAGAAAAACTCTTTGGGCGGGCCAAAAGCTCCATCAGCCTGGATGAGGAGTCCCAGCAGCCGTCGCGGTGCATGAGCTCGTCATTCCACTCCACGCAGACCGGGGGCGGCTTGGTCAAGCTCAGACCAAAGAAGTGTAAGCCGTCGGACCACGTGTACGTGGTCAACAGGGAGGACAAGATGATGCGGCCCCGCTCCTGCGCCACCCTACCTCACGACGCCAAACTTGGTGAGTCGATGCATGGCCGCTTGGGTTTTCTATCTCTTGCATGTTTACAGGCATGTCTGTACTAGCCGCCATTGGGGTTTCAGCACGGTCCACTACCCAGCTTGGTGGTCCACTACCCAGCTTGGTGGTCCACTACCCAGCTTGCTCCACTATCTAGCTTGGTCCAGCTCTCTCCGGGCATGAGATACGTCCATCTGGATGCCATAACACAATGTAAACATGCATGAGAATATGTAAAACAAGCATGTGCATTTATTGCATCTGAGATTTCCACTCTTGATACTGCTTGAGATAATTAGTGTTGTGCAATGTTTGAGGTGTTAATCACTGTTGATTAAGTTCTCCTTCTATTTAACTTTATAACTCAATAACGCCTACACACATATTTTCTTGTACAAGGTTGAAATGACGTCTTGATATCATTTACTTTTCAGCTTTGTTCAACCGTCGGGCATTCTTCTTTCACTGGCCTAAAAACATGGCTATTGGATTACGATAACTATTTCACTAATAAACATCTAAGTGAACGTTCTATTGTAATCTTTGAACACATTAATCTTAACTGCATGAATGTACAAGCATACTTCACTTATCGATGTCTTTGTTTCCCTGAAGTTGTCAGGAAGGTGATTCTGTAGTTTTTTAACAGGAATCGGATCTTCTGTTTGTCCGAAATTTGATCTACTGTTTGTCAAAAACTAGTCTGGACTTTGAGTCCCCGCAGTCTTTATATAGTCAATCAGCCCGGATCAACATTCAGTGATCGATCATTGCCAGTTGTACTGATCTGATGCATATTTTCAGTTATTTCGCATATCCCTCCTCTGACAGTCACATCCCCTTCTCTAACTGTCACATCCCCCCTCCACTGACAGTCACATCCCCTTCTCTAACTGTCACATCCCCCTCTGTCACAACCCCCTCCTGACTATCACATCCCCCTCCACGTGTACTGTAAGAGTGGCTGTCTTATGGTATGAGTTGACTCAAGACGTCTGTAATATAACCTTCAGTCAGATATCCGTAAATTAACCTTCAGGCAAACATTTAGTGAAACAAAACCCTAGTGAGATATTTATTTACACTTTAATGAAACAATTTCTTATATCAACTTTTGTAAGACCACCATTAATATAAACCTGCTTTAAGTTATTTAATACCATTTTAACATCTATTTAATATATAAATTATAAAACATAAATTTGAAAAAGACCCCTTTGGTATAAACTTCAATAAGATTTCCTTCAATATAAACTTGAATCAGACCGTCTTTATGAACGTAAAAGACTCCTTTAATATATACTTAAATCAGACCTCCATTAATATACACTTAATAAACTTAAATGTGACCATCGTTGATATAAACTTGAGTGAGATCACCTTAAATATTAACCTGAATGAGACAGATGGACTCAAATAGACCAGCCATACCGTGAACATGTCATAAGTTCCATGAACCACTAGCCCCGGCTTCCTTTTTTCCTAGGCCAGCATTGACGTAGAGAAGATATGAAAGTGCTGTGCACTCTGACCTCCCCATTCAGTGAATCAGCTCGAGTTGGATGACTCACGTTCAACTCACACAGGTCTTCCACGCAACCATGCGCACACACGCTGTGAGCGTCAGTTTACTCAGGGTACATTCTGGCTCTACTGGCTTTATATTGGGTGGGTGCTCTACTGGCTTTGTGCTGGGTGGGTGCTCTACTGGCTTTGTGCTGGGTGGGTGCTCTACTGGCTTTATACTGGGTGGGTGCTCTACTGCTTTTATATTGGGTGGGTGCTCTACTGCTTTTATATTGGGTGGGTGCTCTACTGCTTTTATATTGGGTGGGTGCTCTACTGGCTTTATACTGGGTGGGTGCTCTACTGCTTTTATACTGGGTGGGTGCTCTACTGCTTTTATATTGGGTGGGTGCTCTACTGCTTTTATATTGGGTGGGTGCTCTACTGGCTTTATACTGGGTGGGTGCTCTACTGCTTTTATATTGGGTGGGTGCTCTACTGCTTTTATATTGGGTATCTAAGATTTCAGAAAGTTTACAGGGACCTCACATTTTTCATCTTACCCGAACTATACATTAAGTGCATGCTGCTTTAATGGCAACTGCCAGTGCTAACATACACACATGGTGCATTAAATAGAAGCCCCTATGAAGTACTGTAAGAAATCCATCGACTCGCGTCAACATGCTGGACCAAAGCCTTAGTCATACTTCGTTTACTCTCTTTACATTTATTGTACTTCGACCCACCTCTTTATTTTCTTGTATACGAAGTATAGAGAAAGTATTGGTATGGTCGAAAAAATCGAAATCGAGATCTTCACAAATCTCGACTTTGTACACCTCTCTTAGTGGGAAAACTTAGTTTGCAATGTTGCCTCGTGTCTGTAGACATGGTAACTTGAGTACCGTTACAACTAGGTTTAAGAAATTTCATACATAAGTATTATATCAAATTTGTAGTTGTGTATCCAATTTTACAGCGATTCCCGGTAACCGGATGTGGCACTCAAAATCCTTCAGTTAGGTACACGAAATTTCACGTAAATCTATATTTAAACAAAAATTTTTTTAATTCTCTAGATTCTCTCAATTTGGAGTCACTTCCGGTGATCGGAAGTAATACTCCACATTATTTACGATTTCTATAAAAAAAAAACCCGCATGAGAATGTATTTATAACTTGATTCCTATCTCTATCGTCCGTCATGGTCGGAAACTTGCGAGCAACATTTCGAACACTTCTATCGGACCGATTTATTTCAAACTTTTCACGTAGGTCAAGACTCGAAGACAATGTATTATGACATAAGTATTACTTTATTAGTTGATTAATTGACATTACCGAGTTGATAAGAATCCCTCCATCATTATTGTTGAAATGGATAAAAACGTGTTTGTTTTTACTTTCTCGTATACAGAGTATAGAGGAAGTATTGTAATCGTGCACAAAAATCAAATGACATTTTGACAGTTTTCACCGTTTTACACCTCAGTACTTCATCACATACGGAGTATAGGGGAACTTGTTTTAATAGGGCAAAAATTATAAATCCATATTTATCAAAATTTCGGCGTTTTATGCGTATCCGTGTCGGAAAATCTGGGTTTTGCAATTCTGTTCGTGTGTGTGTGTATGCTGTAAACACGATAACTTGAGTACTGTTACAGCTAGGTAGATAAAATTTCATCTATAAGTATTATATTAAATTTGTAGTTATCTATCAACTTTTCAGCGATTTCCGATAACCGGAAGTGGGACTTATTCTACTTTTAGTTTTTCACAAGAAAAAGTAAACGCGAACAAAAACACAAACATAAACGTAAGCATTAACACAAACGCAAACAAAAAAAAACAAATTAAAACACAAACGCAACCATCAAAACACACTTTTTAAAAAGTGTTTTTTTTTTAATTAATTAATTAATTATATTTTTTTAATTAAGTCACATGTGTAGTTATTACCAAGGGACGTAATTTGTTGTTTTTTAAAAAACAAAATTGAAATTTTGTAAAGGGTAATACTTTATTTTAATTTTTTTCTTTTCACATTATGTCAATCAAAATGATTAGGTGAGAAATGAAATTTAAGTTATAATATATCAATATTGAGTTTTTAAATTATCAATTTTGATTTTATTTTAAACGTAAACACTTCAAGAACATAACACTGTGGTGATAAAGTCGAGTTGTTGCTATATGCATGTCGTCAAAGGGTCTGTCCGCCACAGAGATTGACCATCTGTGTTACTACTGGTTTGACCAGACTGACCACCTCTGTTACTACTGTCCACATGCAAGAAAGCCAGTCTGTACATAATCGTAAAACAATGGCACGCTTGCGTGCTAGATACTTACCAGCTTAGTGAAATATTTAAAAATCTACATATTTTTAAAACTATTGGAACTTTGTAATTTGAAAACGTATTTGTTGGGGGGGGGGGGGGGGGGGAATGAGCCGAGGCGGGATGTAATGTGGATAGAGGATCGCCATTGTAGAGAGCAAAGACTGTGCCCGCATTAAGCTGCTCCATACTCTTACCCAATCGTAATAAAAATAATTTCAAACTTTTAGTCAACTTTGGTATTCCCAAAAATAAAATAATTTAAATTATAAAACAAGAAAAAATGTCTAAAACAGCCAACCAAACACCCAGAAAGAAAGCTTCCAAAGAAGAAATGCGGGGTTTGTTATTGTTAAACCTCCCCCCCCCCCTACACGTACCGCCTTGAGTGTAAATGGTGTGTTGCATCACGGGGGAAGGTTTACAGTAAGTGTTTTCTTCCTGGAGCTGCCAGCTGGGCCAGTGGAGGAATGCTGTGCTGAGGCTTCGTCCTGTACACATAGCCGGGGATATACAGCGTCTTGTACACATAGCCGGGCATTTACAGCGTCTTGTACACATAGCCGGGCATTTACAGCGTCCTGTACACATAGCCGGGGATTTACCTCGTCCTGTACACATAGCCGGGGATTTACAGCGTCCTGTACACATAGCCGGGGATTTACCTCGTCCTGTACACATAGCCGGGGATATACAGCGTCCTGTACACATAGCCGGGGATTTACATCGTCCTGTACACATAGCCGGGGATTTACATCGTCCTGTACACATAGCCGGGGATTTACAGCGTCTTGTACACATAGCCGGGCATTTACAGCGTCCTGTACACATAGCCGGGGATTTACCTCGTCCTGTACACATAGCCGGGGATTTACAGCGTCTTGTACACATAGCCGGGGACTACTTGCACCGTCCTGTACACATAGCCGGGGATTTACCTCGTCCTGTACACATAGCCGGGGATATACATCGTCCTGTACACATAGCCAAGGACTTACAGTGTCCTGTACACATAGCCGAGGATTTACAGCGTCCTGTACACATAGCCGGGGATATACATCGTCCTGTACACATAGCCAAGGACTTTCAGTGTCCTGTACACATAGCTGAGGATTTACAGCGTCCTGTATACATTTGCCGGGGATTTACAGCGTCATGTACACATAGCCGGGGATTTACAGCGTCATGTACACATAGCCGGGCATTTACAGCGTCCTGTACACATAGCCGGAGATTTACATCGTCCTGTACACATAGCCGGGAATTTACAGCGTCCTGTACACATTTGCCGGGGATTTACTCTACAGCGTCTTGTACACATTTGCCGGGGATATACATCGTCCTGTACACATTTGCCGGGGGTATACAGCGTCCTTCACACATTTGCCGGGGATTTACTAAAGGACATATCTCTGTGTGTGCTACAGTACCGCCGATGAACCCATGCATCAACGGTAAAGACATGCTAGTCAGTGAAGAGTGCTGCCACGGGCATGTCTTTGTTTTCTCTACGTGAACTTTTTTCCGCTTTACTGTAAACCTGCTCTCTTCGTCAGGCTCCAAAATAAATCTGGCAGACTTAGTTTCAAACACGACTCTATGGCTGTCAATTACTGACGCAGTATTTGGGTTGGTGTTTTTTTTTTGCGTGGTGATTTACTTGTTGGCTGTGTGCAGTGACGTTATACTTTGTGGTTATCTATTTGCTGGTCTTTCGACTTTTTTATCTCATGGGTGCTATGCCATTGAACATTTAGTGCAATTATTTACATGAGGAAAAAAGCATTTTCCACTATGTTGTAAGTGTGCAAGTAAACCATGAACAGCTATTTGTACAAGATGCTGGACCTGGGCTGTGCCACTGTGTACTGGCTGGGCTGTAGCTGTTCACACAGAAAGTACAGTAAGAGCTAGACATTGTTTGTGCATGATGGACTAACACATCGGCATGCCAACTATAACTACTTGACTTTAGGCATGGAGATTTTCTCTTAGCCATTCCTTATGGTTTTACATCATCACTCAATACCACTTTATATAGTGAGTCCTGGTTGTAAACTAAATACTTTTTTTTTTTTACTAATCTTTGCTATTTGATAAACTATTTAAAACAGAACCAATCAATAAGTTATATCTAAAGCCTAGACATGTTTATTATTTATCAGCTGTCAATACCATTTGATATTTCATGATTGCTGATAGCTGGAGAAATAAAACATTATAAATTATGACTCTTGATTGGGAGTGGGAATAAAAAGTTAAGGTCATGGCCCAGCTGTTTCATTGAGCCCTTTATTGTGTAAACAATTCACATGCATCATATAATACATAACACACATTGATTACTTCTGAATGTCAAAAGGTTAAAGTTGTAGGCTGTGTAACACATCATCATTATTGCTGTATGGCCAATACAAAATTAAAAGTTGTAGGTTGTGTAACACATCATCATTATTGCTGTATGGCCAATACAAAACTAAAAGTTGTAGGTTGTGTAACACATCATCATTATTGCTGTATGGCCAATATAAAACTAAAAGTTGTTTGCTGTGTAACACATCATCATAACTGCTGAATGGCCAATACAAAACTAAAAGTTGTAGGCTATGTAACACATCATCATTACTTCTGAATTAAAGTTGTTGATAGTGTGACTTGTATTGACTTTTACCCTCAACTTTTACAGGTGTTGTTCATGAAAATCCTCCAGCAGTCTCATCCAGTGTAGAGAATGAGAATATCCTGCGGACAACGGGGGAACGTTATGATGTTATCTCTCCTGTCACTGTTCGCTTGCGTAACAAGCAGCGCAGACTCAGTGAGGTTAGAGCAAAAATATTTGACACTAAATTACTAAACCTAACCACTGAAAAGAAATATCATTAAAAAAAATTTCAATTAGAAATCTGTCATATTTTGAAAAATGTCTATATGTTGTTGTGACATGATACAGATAGTTACAGTAACTCATATAAATGTTGCTTATCCCGTTAAAAAAATTGCTTTATTCTATGACAGGAAGTGACGAAAAGGTTATCCCTCCCTGCAGATATTCGTTTGCCAGAAAATTTCTTAGCACGTCAGTCTTTGTCTCTGAGTCCTGATGGTCAGCTCACTAGGCGGTCAAGAAGGAAATCTTTGGTAAACAATTTATGATAGCTAAGCATACCCTTATTTAACACATCTTTGGTAAACAATCTATATTTATATGCTAGATAGTTAGCTTCTTTACAACATTGGATGGATAATACTGTAGGATTCTAGTACAATTTTTGTGCTAGCTACTAATGATGAATCTTCTGTGTGAGGCATGGTTTATTTTTACCTCTTTACTTGTTGTGTATTTTTTCTAGTCAGAGATTGGGTTTGGTAAAATTGAATCCTACACAAAACTGGACAAACTAGGAGAGGTAAATTACAGTTTAGTCTACTTTAAAAAAATATCTGATCACAATGTGTCAGATTTTCTGTTATTATTTTAATTAGCTAATAATACTCACAGATCTCGCCTTATATAAATATATATATATATGTAATCCCTGATTCTTGAGGTCTGGGTTTTATTAACTGTTCATTGTCTGTTGTGTTTCAGGGAACCTATGCTACAGTGTTCAAAGGAAAATCAAGGTTAACTGATAATTTGGTTGCATTAAAGGAAATTCGTCTTGAACATGAAGAAGGGGCACCATGTACAGCAATCAGAGAAGGTGATTAGCAGAGAATGGTTTAGAAGTGATAGTTATCTTAGTTTATCTATATCTAACTTTGGTATAGGCGCGGGGGGGGTGTAAGAATAGATCTTATAAATGACAGCTGGCTCATATTAAGTTATTGGTGTCAGCAGGCTCCTGATGTTTTAGTTTACATATATATATATATATATATATATATATATATATATATATATATATATATATATATATATATATGGAAATACTTTTGCAATTGCAACCCCCCCCCCCCCCAGCATAAATAAATCCTGTCTACCACACCAGTATCCATAGATGATGGTGGTTTAGAAATAGTTTTTAAACATGTATCAGTGTATCAGTTTTGTGCTTTGTTTGAGACTAAAAACATTTTTGAAAAATAATGCAAGTTAATATGTTATTTTTTTTTTCAGTTTCCTTACTCAGAGACTTAAAACATGCCAACATTGTAACATTACATGATATTATTCACACAGACAAGTCATTGACTCTAGTCTTTGAATATTTAGTAAGTTTGGTGCCAATGGGGGAATTTGTTTTTTCAAACTGTTAGTAGAATTTAGATATACTATAATTTTAATTATTCTGGTAAAAGATTTTCAACCCTCATATGAATTGGATATATTATAACTGATGTCACCTGAATATTTTAGGAAAAAGATCTCAAGCAGTATATGGATGATTGCGGGAATATAATGAGCATGACAAATGTCAAGGTTTGTATAGTTATTTATGCTTTTGAAATAGATTTGTTTTCTCAATAAAGAAAACAAATAGTTAAACAACTAGTCATAGACTTAGTTGAAAAGATAATACATTCCTGCCAGTTGTTTCTATAACAAAGTAGGATGGGACAGCATGGTTGAATGGTAGAACATTCATCTAGTAACCTGAAAGTTCAGGTTCTTGACAAGAGTTGTACCACATCCCTGATTCCACCAACTCTAATGGGTACCTGACTTGTGTTAGGGAAAGTAAAGGCTGCTGAGCATAGTGCTGACCACATTATCCTTACATGGTTACCAGAACAGGTGAGCTGTACTTTGTCTGCCCAGAGGGCCACTAGGTTCAAAATGGAACTTTATACTTGGAGAGGTATATCTTTATATTTTTTTTCTAGTTTTATTTCTTTATTTTCAGTTATTTTTGTTTCAACTGCTCAGAGGCCTTGCTTACTGTCATAAGAGGAGGGTATTGCACAGAGACCTGAAACCTCAAAACCTGCTCATCAATGAGAGAGGGGAATTGAAATTAGCTGACTTTGGTTCGTTTTATTTGCACTCTTGTATTGAACAGACCCTTTTTTATAAGAAGACCTTTTGTTGTGTTGGCAGTAAAGATTTTTACATAATTTTAATTTTTTAATACATTTTTTTGTGTTTTTAATTATTCTGATAGATATGTACATTTATCAATCTGGCTTTTGGTATGTTTCTAGGTCTAGCCCGAGCAAAATCTATACCGACCAAAACCTATTCTAACGAAGTAGTGACATTATGGTATCGCCCGCCTGATGTTCTGCTAGGGTCAACAGAATACTCCACACCCATTGATATGTGGTAAATTAGTTTTGTCTCATTATAGTCTCAAGTAAATAAGGTCCATAACTGTTAAATAATTGAATATTTGGTGAATTGTAAAAATAGATGGATACCAAAAGCATAAACCCCTAAATACAGAATCATGAAAACAACTTTTCAATGTTATGTTTGCTCACTTTGTACTTAATGTTGAATGAAATAATTTCTTTGCAGGGGTGTTGGCTGTATATTTTACGAAATGGCCTGTGGTAGGCCTTTGTTTCCTGGCTCTACTGTTGATGATGAGCTACATCTTATTTTTAAGACTCTGGGTTTACCCACTGAAGAGACTATGCCAGGCATCTCTAAGAATGCAGAGTTTCTTGCTTATGAATTCCCCAAATATCAGGCAGACAGTCTTATAACAATAGCCCCAAGGTAACTCAGCTGTTACATGCTAGCCATTTGGTATCATACACTTAATATAGATAGAGATTTTGAATCTTATTTTTAGTCATTTACTTTGCTGAGTAATGCTCTCTGGAATAATTTTCATGTCTTTTACTCTCATTTCAGATTAGATTCTGAAGGCTTGGAATTGTTAGGAAAATATTTAAAAGTAAGTAGCAGGTTGGACCTTTAGGAAACTATTGCCTGATTAAGTTATTTTAATTTTTTAATGCATTCATGCTGCATCATGTTTATAGAGTTTGGTCATCAGCATGACAAATACATGTATAGTGAGATCAGTTAAAGTAACTAATTGGACCTAACTAGGTCATCAAAACAATGATATATCAATGGTTCAAAATTAAACTATATATCCATGTTTTGACACTGCTAGTAATGATTTAAAAAAAAATGTTATAACTAACACAACTCACTAATATATCAGCTAGAAATGGATTTTACTTTTTCAGTATAACCCAGCCACTCGTATATCAGCTACAGATGCCTTGAAACACACATTCTTTGATTCCTTAGGGCCAAATGTTCATAAACTTCCTGACAGTGAGTAACCACTTATTTATTGAAGACAACCACACAGTAATTAGTCAGCAAATTTATTATCACTCCAGATCTCTAAATATCCTAAATTGTGTGGATAAATAACCAGTTTTATTATCAAAATATATGAACTGATGGCCTCATGCTTATGATGAATGAATCCACTTCATTCTTGTCATTTTATTTTCAGCCGTTTCAATCTTCACAATCCCAGGAATATCACTCCATAGGGACCCAGGGATGAGATCGTCCTCTTTAGCCAATACAGGTTAGTTCATGTAATTTCTATATTTTTAAAAATAAAGTTTACTATTTTATTCTTTATATAATAGCACTTTTTAAATGTATTGAAAGAGGAATGTAATTTCATAATTTCTCTAATTACTCTAAAAATTTGGTCTAGTTTTATATTTATAAGTAAGATAGTGATATATTTTTTTAGTATTCTGATGTAAATTATACTTTTGCTGTAACTCCCTTCCCAGGAAAACTAAGAAGACAAAGTATGTTGTTTTGATTAGACGACAGCTCTTAAAACTCTTCCATTGTGAAATTTCAAAATTTATAACCAAAAAAAAAAAATTCTAATCAAATCCACTTGAACAGTTGAGAAAAAAGTTGAATCAAATCTTTGTGTACATTAAACAAATGGATCTGTTGGATTTAAAAAAACAAATCAAATGTTGCATATGGATGATCATTTCTCCTAAGATGAAGAATCTCAGCCAGTACATAATCATTTGAGAGTTGATTAAAAAGTTTTGGCCATAAAATGAATCAATCTGGTTTTTTGGTTATGGGCATTTTTTTCTCACCATGACTTGTGTGAAATGTCTCATGTAATGATTATTTATCGTTCAGCACTCATTGATTAAAGAATAGAATGCTCTAATAATATATTAGAATACCAATAAATCATTGACAACACAAAATAATTGCTGATTCTTTCAAAATTCTAAGAGAATAGTGATATCGATTATAAATATTTACTTAATGGCCAACAATGATTTTCCAACACAAAAGGATTACCCAGACATCTGAAAGCTACTTAATCCATCAAAATAAACTTTTTTATTATGGCAACTCTAACAAAACCAAGTCCTGATAGGTTGGCCAACAAGGAAGACTGAAGTAAATGGTTGATACATCAAAAGGCACAACCTGGATTTACCCATCATAAGGCTGGACTACAGTTATCTATTTCTCACTCTACAGTGATTGAATATTTTACTGGTACTTATAGATTGTTTTTTTTGTAAATGTTGATTTTTAAATGGTACAATGTTACATACCGGTATAGGGAAGGAAATGTAATTATGCTTTATAGAAATAATGCATTGCAATGTTATAAAAAAACGAAGATTTAAATTTTTATTTAAACAAAGGGGTTAAAACCCTGCACCTGTACATTTTCATGTTGATTGTCAATACAATTACATCTTATCTATTTCTTAGATAGTCTTACACTTGTTACTGAAGATGTTAAGATATATCGCAATAAACATCATTTGTTTTGTTTCCGCTTTCAAACTCTGTCATGTATGTGCATACAGCTGAAGCAAACTGGCTTATTATCACTAAGTTTGCATTATCATTGCCTTCAAAATTCATCATAGAAATGGATTTAAATATTATGGTCACAAATGAAATAATTCACTTTAGTATTTTTTCTCTGCTCAACAAAGAAAACTTCCAAATGTTAATGATGTCAATCAAAGTATTAGAAGCACATTAGTCAAGCAGTTTCATGTCTGTCATATCTCTTAACCACTTGTTGTTCATGTGTGATTGATGTATCCACTCTCACCTCCACTGTCAGTGAATACATTGTCACTTATTATCCTCTTTAGTTATGTGTAGTTGTGGGACAGGAAAGATAACTGCAGCATGAATAACTGGTAAAGGGTGGATAACTGTAGTTATGGGACAGGGTTAATTATTGTACCGTAACTTTAGATCTGGGTCATAACTGCAAGTGCTGTACATATGTCGGAGTGTGGCTGCTTTGTTGGACTGGTGTACAACTGAGGGGTGGGGATGTTTGTTTCTAGTTGTGACATGATTTGGAATGTTGGTAAATATTTATACAAGGAAATAAAGCACATAAAAATGTCTTTCTGAACTATGTGGATCAGTATTTAACTGTCATTGGTGCACTAACGTCAATTAGCCTTTAGAAGTCAAACACTACTCAAGGCAAAAATTTATTAAATTTGTGTTGCAAATTTTTCTTTACATCAATAACAAAAAGCATTACTTTAATTTTTTTGGTATTAAATTCTTAGTTACTAACCAGTAGAGAATCTTACAGAAAAATATTGCTAAAAGATATATTTACAAAAATGTACATAAATTTAGTTTTATGTTTTGTCTTCATTTTTGTTTAGTTTAGATTATAAAAGATCACATGATAGAAAATAATCTTTATAAGTCATCCTTATGTTTGATGTATATACATGTATATCATTTTGTTAACATTCTTCCTAATATTTATACAAATGTTTTGTTCCTTTATTTCTATACACTCTAATGAATGTTTAACTCATACACAAGCTCTTTTTACTTTTTAATGATTGGAGAAATATATCTAGTCTCAGAGAGCAACGGTGATTTGTAAACAGGCAGTAGCTTTAGCCATACCAACCAAAAATGTCACTATGCTTACCACAAAGTATTGTTGAAGTTATGTCCAATAAATTGTGCCTCATTCAAATATGAATTACTGGTCATAGATAACAAACAATTGTGTCTTTCAAGTAATGTATACAACATTCTATAATGCAGGATTTTTTTTTTAACCTTTATTTAAAATTATAGAGAAAAGTACCATCTAAACTCAAAAGTTTTTCAAAAATATAAGACTGAATTTTATCATTTTCTTTTTTGAAGATAGAAAAAAAAAAATTAATTTGACCTAAATTAACTATTCAGTTAGTAATTTCCTTATTGTAGCAATTTTAAACAACAAGGTGTGGTTTTTTATTGTGAAAACAAATCTGTTCACACTGTTTGTTGTGTTTTTTTTTTGTACGAAGACTTAGATTTAGTTGCTATCTTATAACAGTATAATTATCTCTATAAGTGAAAGCTAGCTGTGCAGTAAAAAACGTAATTATCAACAATATCAGAAAAACATAACAACAGAATCGCAGTGCCATGAATTGACTCCTAAGCTTGTAATGTGGAACTTGCTGTAAGTAGAAAATTCTGTAGTAGTAGGCGTTCATGAGATTTTGTTGAATCAAATTTTCATTGTGCCATAAAATTAAACTGGTCTCAAAAACAAGTTTGTCACTTTTTTTTTTTTATTTAGTCTTAACATAAAATGTCAGTCCTATTTAAAGAGTTAATCATACACAAATCAGTCACTTTCTTCAAGTAACTTGTACTTGAAGCACCCCCTTTAACCCTATATTATAGTATTAAAAAGTAGACTTTTAAAAATGCTGGTATCTTTAATTGGAAAAGTTGCTTTAGTTTAGGATAATAAAATTATAAAATTTAACTATTTTCTATTGTTCATAATTCATAAGCTAATGTGAACATTTAGAAAATGAATGAGTTAAATATAACCATGTTATGTTCTTGGCTTCGTTTTGATGAGTGGTGATAAAACAATGCATTCTTAAAAGAAACAGAGGGATTTTCATTTATATATATATATATATATATATATATATATATATATATATATTTCTTGTAAACAAATCAATCAGCAACAAAGTAAAATGAAAGCAGTTGAGATTGTAACCAGTATAATACAAGAACATAAGATTGCGTTAGCCAACACTTCAATGGACTGAGATAAAAACTTTAATGATATATTTACAAATGATTTTAAAAGGCAGCAACTATTATTACAAAAGGCAATACATTTGTTTTTTAAACATAAAATTACTAAAAAGTTATGATGAAAAACATAATATGATAAAACTTGTTTAACAAGAAAGATCATTGAGATTGTCTAGACAGCTTTCCACAGTCCCACACTCCGTAAAATAGAATGCTGAAAAGTTGCCTGACACTGACAACTACTTTTCCATCAGGTTCAACAAAGATATCTCATCACCACTGACACAACTGATGAATCCAGAATTTTTTTTATCCAACCCCCAAATACAACGGATATATCTAGCTAATTAGTAAAATTAAAAGCTTAAGAATACTTTTTTTCCATAACTTAAGAAAAAACTAGATGCATCAACTTAACAAAAATAAAAATATTATTTTTTAAAACTATTTTGTATATAAATTTTAAAACAATTTAATAACTGGATGCACATGTGTTTTCTCTTGAACTTAATTGTCTCCTTAGCTGCACAACAGAAGTGTCTTTGAAAGTTTGAATCAATGTGTTATTGCATTAAGTGGTTCAGCTCGAATACTTTCAAAATCTAGACCATTATCTGTATCATCATCAACCTCCCCGATTACAGCTCTGAAAATAAATAAGTAAGCTCCATTAAAGTACCCAGTAGTTGATTAGAAAAATTTAAAAAAAAATTAAAGTTAAAGTACATTTCTCAAAGAAATTAGTTATTCTTCTAAATCTTAACAGCTTTCTCATGTAAACAATCTATCCCTAGTAATCATAAATACAATCTTACAATGCAAAGCCAAGATATACAACAATAACTTCTATAACTATAAAATCATAGGCAAGGCTAGTTTAAAATGTTGACTTACACATTATCTCCCCTGACTATATACAAGCCAAGAATAACTTGTTCCACACCTTGCCCTGTGCTGTAAACTCTCTCATGACTTTCATCCAGTATCAGATTGATTGTCTGATCAAAGCCCTTCAAGGTTCCCTAAAACATCATTTGTAAATAGTAATTACGGAATATGTGTAAATAAAAATGTCAAATCATTTGCCTTATTTTTTTTCTACATTACATTTTCTTTTTTTAAAATCATGAATGCATACAAATGTAATCAAATTTATTTTTTAAATTTGAAAAAATAGAGATTAACACATTTTTTTCTAAATGGAAGCAACAACATTGATGTTAGGAATATAGTCAACTCTTACCACAATAACTCTTCCATCAGCTGTAACAATTTCCACCATTTCTTAAAAGAGTTAAGAACTTCATTGGAGTTTGTGTAGGCCTGACTCTTAAGTTTACTTATTCTAAAAGACCATTGTGCATTTCAGTTCAAAAAGACAGAAAAATTAACCTCAATAACAGGACATCATCATCAACTCTGGGCAAACTTACATTTTCTACTGTGCCCTCTTTTTATTATTGATATACTATAAACAATGTATGCCTATACCTCATTTTAGCCTATATATATATATATATATATAGGCCACCTATCTAATTAATGTATTAACTTAAAAAATTATTTAGTAGGATTGTATCACCATCAGACTCACACCTAAAATATTACAGAAAGACTTCATATCCTAATACTATATAATAATATTAATAAAGTAGAGGTCAATGTAATTTTTACAATACAGTTAGAAATTAAGCCTTAGCATTTATTTATTTAGTAGTACAATTTTTTAGTAGGCCCTACTAACTATGCAAAGCAGACCTAGAATACGACTATAGTACGAGTATAGTATAGACATAGTAAGTATAGTAGATTGGGCGAACTGATAATATATCATTTTAGGTACGTAAAATCGGCCAAGAATAGTAATGTGAAAAAAGGTGACTCATTAAATTTTGGTACTTATTTCACACTTTTAGGAAGATTTATCATGTTTTGAAAATTAAAAAAATGTTTCAAAGTTTCATTCATGTACCTGTTTTTAAACAATTATATTAAAACTTTTCAGTGGGCCTAATAAATAAAGACTAGCGATGTTTTCATCAGATGCTCATTTACTTTACTTTAGCAGCCATCTTGTTAAGGTTTTGTTTTGATAAAATTATAGATTCAGTTTCAGGGGAAACACTCTAATTTTCAGATGGCGCTTATTAATATTACAGCAAAATCTTGCTTGCAAACACTGCTGTTTAAAGTTAATTTCTGGCCTATATTGATGATATAATATATTTAGCCATTGATTTTGTCATTATTCAGTTATCTAATATTGTCTAATAATAATAATGATAACCAAAACCAAAGTGCAGACAAGCTGGTAGGTACTTGGTACGAGTAAAAAAAAACAACTAGAAAACAAATTGCAGACAAGCCGGTACTTGGTACGAGTAAAAAAAACAAAAAACTAGAAAACAAGTTGAAGTTTCATTTGTTTCTACTTAGATCTAAATCTTAGATCTAGATCTAGATCTAGAATCAATCACTCAATATGTATGTTTCTATTCTTCTCGTTTTTTCTCGGCAACAGAAACTGCATGAATTTGTATTATTTTGTATGTGATTACTGGGCCTAATGTCGAGTTTAGTTTTGATTTTACAAAGAATCAAACGTCTTTGTACAGTTTTTTAACTAAAAAAAGAGGAAAATAAAATTTAAATCACACAAAACAAGACTTATTTTATGTTTCAATAAGGATACTGTTTACGTAGTTTTCCAAGGCTGATGCCATTTTCGATTTTAAAAAGTCATCATAAGTGCCGAAACATCACGATAGTGAAGAAAGAAAAAGCACACTAGGAAAGCTTTTATTCTTATAGGCCCTATATAATTAAAAAAACAAACAACAAACAAGCAATATAATTATTATAGACTTTATTAAGCTTATAGCATTATTATTTATCACACCATGCACTGATGTAAAATACAGCATAACTAAAACAATAACGTGACTCATAACTAAAACAAAAACTTTTACATAGGGCCTACTTAAAAAGATATTTAAAACAGGACTGATAAGAAAGAAACTGGAAGTCAGTCAATTAATTTTAAGACTACAATCAATATTAAAACTATATAAATTATAACTATGACGTATGTTTAGTAATATATTTTATCTGTGTTAGAAATTATTATATTAAAACTTCATTCAAGTAAAATGATTGCTTGTAAAATGATTGCTTATTGTTTATAATTAATTTTTAAAATAGTTACATGACTGCTTGACAAAAAATAAAAATTACCACAGTGTTAACGTTAAAATACTTATCTTGTATGTTGAAGTAATCCCTAAAAAAATTAATAATTTTCTCAAGACCAAGATCTATTCTCAATACTGCATTACTTAAATACATTCATGAGAATATGTTCCTTAATATACTAAAAATAAGTATAGGTGTATAGCAATTTTTTTTAATTTGAATATTTAAATTAACATCTACAATGAATTGAGAGAAATATGAATGAAAATAAATATGATGGGGCGGGGGCTTGTTTTTTTTTACTGATTTTTTCACTTATCATGAGAAAGCTGATGTTATTTGTTGCACTTGTAAACAAAGTAAAATTTAAGTTCACTTTATATTTAAATTTTCTTATCTAATTTGTTAAATAAAAGTTAACTTTAAGATGAAACCAAATAAATAAAATAGAATTTGACCATAACTTTTTTGCACTGTTTTACGAGCATGTAATTAATGGTGTTAATATTTTGGTATTTAGTCGATTTTATTTAATTATTCTTTTTTTGCTAGAGAGTTCGTTGAATTTCTTGTCATAATTTAGATTGGTTGATAGATCTATCTATGTTAAAAAATAATAATAAGTTGTTTTAGCCCAAACAAATTGTAGATCTAGAATCTAGATCTTTATGTAATTAATCAAGAATAATAAGCTATCACTTTTTTAATTTAACTGTTTAAGTAGAGTAATTAGTATTAGAAAGCCCTACGCCTAACTTATTGTTATTATTAAATTATTAACTCGGGAAGAATAATATTATTCAAGTTGCCAGTTGGAAACGCGGAAGTTTGTTCCATAGAATAATAGAATTAGATTTTAGTAGATCTAGACTCTAGATCTAGAATCCTAGATCTAGACTTGCAGCATTCAGCATGAGATTTTAGAATTTAGATCTAGTTGTAATAGATTACGTCTATACTATAGTCTATAGGCCCCTAAATAAAAATCTTAATATTATTATTACTAGCCTATTAATAACCTGTAGTTTCTCAGGGCCAACCTGTCCTATGATAATAATAATTTTATATGATGATTGTTTAGTTATTAATAGGCCTAAACTAATGAGGTAATGCCTAATGATTAGGATGACAATGGCTGTCACCACTGGATAGGAATCTGACAGTGATAGATGGCCTATAGCCTAGTATAGTATAGGATAGGGGCCTATAATGATAATGGCCTATAATATAACTATAAAACTGTAGGCCATACATATATTATGCTAATTTAACTTATTTATTTTTATTGTGTGGTGTAGTATCAAGGCCAAGGGTTCTAATTTCTTTCAAATAAAAAATTAAACTTTCCTATCTATCCCCTATGTCTGGTTAATCCTCTTAAAATCAACTAGGCCTATAATCTACAACTATATTAATTTCATATTAATATAAACAGTGTAGGCCTGTATGCTAAAATAGTGGATTAGTGACAGAGGACCAAGACTATTTAATTTAATATGTTCTGAGTTTGATACCAAGAGCTAGACTTTTGTTGTGGAAAGCAATTGATAAGGATTTTAAAAATTCTTTGCAAAACAAAATACAAGGATTTTCAAGTTCACATTAATTACATCTAGTTGGTCAGACTGTAGAAACACCTGAACATGTCTTCCCATCATCCACCTGCACACCAAAGACCACTTCAACAAGACTGGGCTAATAGAGAGTATGTGGAAGTCATAACTGGGAGTATTAAAAAAATCACAGATTTTCTAAACTCATTTGGTAGGTACAAAAAGTTAGTTCCTTTTCATCACTTTGTCTTAAAACTATGAGAATGGATATTTTAAAAATGTAGTTTTAGACTCAAATCATATATTTTTGTTTGTCTTCTCTCACCAGAATATGTAAACAAAAATCAAAGTAGAGCATGTGTGTCACTACTTCTCTACTTCTTAAATGCCACAAAATGGTTTCAATATTTGTAACAAACTTTCCCCAACCAAACAGTTCATATACAAGGTTCTACCCATATGCTGTCTAGTTACAGAGAATTTTTGATGAGTATATATTTTAAAAGATTTTGACAACTGAACATCATAAATTTTATTTACACAGACACATCTTGCAGATCAAGACTTGCGGTTCTTAATCAAAAGCTTACAGAGTTGGAGAGACGAGTAGAATATATTGAAGCTCGTGTATGTAATTAAATTTTACCAACATTATTTATTAGTTAATTAATAGTTTCATTTTATTGTCAGAATATATAACTGTTATTGATTACTTACTTTAAATTTTGCATTAACTAATTGACTGTTTTAAGTTCCCAAGCCATATCAGGATGTTTTTTACAATTTAGCCTCACTTCTCTTTCATTATGCAATCAGAAGTTTAAGCAAAATGTTTTGTTTTCTAAAGTTTTTGTGCATTAGTATTTAAAGTTTACCATTCAGATACTCAAAATCATGATACAACAACACCCTGCTTTAAAAAAATGTTTCAGTATTTATTATAATATTCCTGGTGATGTTACTTCAAGTTTGGTGTTCAAAGCACAATGATAAAAGATTCTACATTTTGCACTAAGTCATGATTTCTTATTATACCATAAATAATCATTACACCCCAAATTTGTAATATAAACATTGCAACAACATTAAAATATGATATTTAAAGGAATTAAGCAGGGATCCAACACTTTCATTTGAACATTTTCTTTATTTACATGCAATTCGACAATGGTTTAATGTGGAATTTTTTAAACTCTAGCAACCGCTATAGTGAAGGTGACTTCAATTGTAAAGGTGCTTGTATTCTATCTTGTTACAACTGTTTGTTTCCAGATAATACAAAATGAGAACCTGTGTGAAAACCATAGAGATGATAATGATATAGGTTCTGAACATTTTCTTTGAGTGTCTCACACATGCCTTCTGGGGTAAAACATTATATCTCAATGTCTTCCTTATGATCCCACTCCCTTAGTCTGCTGTTCTGCTGCGCTTTGTCAGTGACTGACATTGGTTTGGAAATGAATTTTTTAATAAACTGCTTGTAGAAGTTTTAAATTGTGTAAGCCTAGTTGCACCTTGCTTCATCTACTTTGTCTTTGTTTCTCAAGGACATTCCTTTTATTTAGTGGCTCAGCATGTATGATTTATTTTACTCATAATAGTCATAACTAAATTAATTAATTTGATCTAAAAATTAAGCTTAATTGTTGTACATTACTAAAATAAGAAAAGAAATACACATGTACAAAAAGAGATGGTGATTTGAAGTTTTTTGAAAAACAATTACACTTTTAAAATCCTCTAAATTTGAAATATTTCATTTGATTTAAAATGTCACTGTTTCTATCAGGATTGCATCATTATTTATAATATTTCTTTTTAAATATTTATGACAGATGGATACAGGTCTAGTTTTTTAAATGTTCATCTGCCCAGTCTCAGATCCATTTTCTGCTGTCTACAAACAATGGAGTGTTTCCTCTTTTTATTTATTAAAAATTGATATAAAGAACAAATATTTTTGTCCTTTGGTCATAACCATTTGTAAAATGATAAAAGCATAAATGTTTTTTTAACTGATTGGAAGTAATTTTTTTTTCATTTTGAAAATCATTATCTCCTAGTTTTTCTATTTGTGCATTTTTTCACATAGTTATTTGTATTACACAAACTTTATAGGTAGCAAGGGAAGTAAGGCAATATATTATGGAATCACTATCTGCCAAATGAGCTCATCTGTTTATCTTTTGAAAGTCTATTCTTTACATAAATAACATCATGCTGACTCTTTTACAAGGTTTTATTCTACCATCCCCTCTAAATATGCAGCCCTAAGATATTAAGGAAAGTAGCAAGCATTCACTTTTATTTAATACTAGGCATCTTGGTTGGTAAAAATTGCAATAACTCATCATAACACATTATCTGTAATAACTTAATTTACAGTTTATATAACATATTTTATTATATAATTAACATCAAATAAAGTAAGCACCATGATGTTGTTTTTACCTTTTCATTTGCTTCATCTGAACTGTCTTATACACAATATAGAAGGGAATGAAAAGTTATTGAAAGGCTATAGAAATAAATAAAAGAAATGCTCTTGGTTTTCACCAAAACTTTCCTCAAGTGATTTTGTTCACAGCCCTTTATGTGTACACAATGTGGTCATTTTTTCAACAACCTTATGTGTGTGCATAATCTATAAATCTGGTCATACGTGCACAAGCTGTAAAATCTAGTCATTGTACACAAGCTGTAAATCTGGTCATTTTTTCAACAACCTTATTTGTGTGCATAATCTATAAATCTGGTCATATGTGCACAAGCTGTAAAATCCAGTCATTTCTGTCGACATGCTGTTTACACAATATAATAGCTCTGTAAATCTGGTCATTTTGTTCACAACCAGACAGGTTGGTCATATTGTTTCTTTGTTTACATGTAAACACCATTTTTAAATTAACATACACACTCTTTTACTAACATCTTAAATTTTTTTTTATTTGTCTTGCTAGTACTCATTTTTTTTTTTTTTTTGTCAAAATCCTTTACAATACAAGTTTACACCCATTCAAGTTTCTATGGCTGGTTAAGATTGCTCTTTTGTTGGCATACCTTATTATCTTATTTATAACAAGAAAAATTCGTACTTTTAACTTGTAAATTTAATACTTCATTTATTAAGTAAGATAAATTCACTATAAGGACACAGATTCAGAATGATTGGTCAGTTGTTATATATTTTAAGTTACTATCTTTAAATTTACCACATTGTAATTCTTGTTATACTTAGTAAACTAAAAAGGTTGAAATTCAAACAAGTCTAAAAACTTTATTGTTTTGGCACTAGTGTATGTTTTCTATGTTTGTGAATATTTCCTCTTTATCAGATTTCATGGTTGATGTAGCAATACTATTCAACTGTTTGACCATAATGTAAAAACATTTTAATTGGAATACACAATTGAATTTATCAACATGAATAACCTTTGGCTTAAATCTATAAACTGAGAAAACCTAGGCATTCCCAAAAATTATCATTTAGCAATTGCTTGACACTTCTGGTTAAAGCAATTTATGATGTGTGATATCATTTATGATAATCATTTCCTTGAGTGATGCTTTCAAACTAATGAGTTTACTGGTTGATCTGCATGTGTTTTGATAAGCTCGTGTTAAAAAAACTTCATTTCTGTTCTCGACACTTTGAGATCGAGGCATGAATTTGGCCATTTTTTAACCATCTAACTTTTGTTTACATTGAGCATGTTTTGAAGACTTGAAAACAATTCACTGTGTTGTGAGTTTAATGTACTCAACCATTTTGGCATGTGTGGCTATTTTAACAGAGTTGAAATAAAATTTACCATGCACCATATACACACTAGATAAAATTATCCTGAGTGATTTTTAGATCATGGCTCACACAACTTTGCGTTACAATTTTAACGGAGGTAAAGTAGAATTTGCCATGCACCAATTACTCTCTAAGTAAAATTATAAAGAGTGTGCTTTAGATCATAGCTCACACAACTGAATATTTTAATGGCAGTTTGGTGCTGGTAGTTTGAATATATGTAGTTGAAATCCTAAACACATTTTATACTTTTTACTTTGGATTGAAGGAATGTATTAGATGCTGAGAATTTTACAGTACTTCAGATTTTACCCAGTTTGATACTATTTTTGAAAAATCCTTTGGAAATTATTTGAACATGTCAAAATCAATATTAAGCTTTAAAATAATTATGAAGAAATTCACTGGAATTCTTGTGAAGATTTTTAAAATCAATAAATATAAAAAATTGGAAGAAATAATTTCAATTTAGAAGATTCTGCATCAGTCATTCGGTTTAAAGTTGTTTCCTGGAAAATCATTGTTCTTAAATCACGTTGTTCTTCTGTAATTGTTGAGGTATTAACTAGACAGTATACAATATGAATAAGGTAAAGATTTCTCACATTAATGTTATGTCAGGCTATTAATAAACTTATTTTCACTGCATTGAGATTTCTCTTTTTTTTTTCCTTGCTAGCTATACTAGAACTGATGCTTATACATTTTTTAAATAAAACTTGTATATAATCTCTTTACTTGAGGATGAAAATTTATTTTTCAGGTAACTAAAGGAGAGACACTTTCCTAGAACCGGAACAAAACATGAAACCATAAAGAGTTTCAGATGAAGAATTTGTTGAAATCTTTTTTAAATTATTCAGCAAAATGTAATTAATTTGTTTTGTAAATAAATTCACATGTAGACTATTGTTTCCTTCTCTGCAACTAAAGTAATGTTTTTTAGCTTATTGTTTTTTCTTTCTTTCTACTTAGCTACATATTTTTGATGTTGCAAAGTCAGTAAAATAATTATAGTTCATATAATCTTAATCTTTTAAAAAGTGTCCTATCTATAGTTTGAGTGTTGAACTAAAATGGTTAAAATAATTTAGCCTAAAAGATAAAAAATAGTTGCTGCGTATGAAAACATTTTTAGCAAATATGGACTGGAAAAAAAAGTAATGTTGGAATGTTAGTAGTAAGAAGAAAAACAATCAATAGAAATATTTATCTTCCTCCTCTATTTCTGTCTTATATGATTATTTTGTATTGGCTGTAGGTACATTGCATTGCCGTTACTGTTGAAGTGTTTGCCTGTAATATGTTTAGAATTATCTTGTCTCATCCCACTTGACAGTTGTGTATGAGCCAGTTATTTTGTTAACTTTAAAACTAGTCAGGTAAACTTTCCACCACAACTTGTGTTGATCCAGGAACAATAAAACCTGCATGTAATTGATGTGGTCATTCAAGTTTTGATCTGGTGTTTACAGAATGTCTGATTTCAAAATAAATTAAACAATAGACTTGCTTTATAATGTGTTTTTTTAGTTAACTCCAAAGCTTGAAGAGCTCTTGTTAGCTGAGTGAAGCCACACAAAGTTTTCAAATTGTTTTTGTGTAAAAATAGTTAAAAGAGTTAACAGATGAATTTTGAAATTCTATTTATTTATCTTATATAAATAAACATCAATTTAAAAGATGCATTATATGTTGTTTTGATACTTTTCACAAATGTTATAAAATATAATTAGAAAACAAATCTTAAAATAATTTGTGTTGAGTTACAATAGTACATTACCTAAACTAAAACAAGCATAATAAATCAGTGCAACTGTTGAAAAATTAGAAGACTGCAAGATTCTTAACATGATGGACAAAACATTATTTTTTAATTCCTAAAATGATACTGAGATGCCATTTTAAAAACATGTATATCAAGTAAGTTAGAGTGATCTGCCTTCAGTCAGGTTACTGGCGTTGGAATAAATTTGATTATGTGACTGAAAAAAGCTAATGGCAAGTGAATACATTCTTAAATCTTAGAAACTTTGTTTATGATCTTTTTTAAAAAATATTTTACAAATGGCTATGTTGAAGAGGAATTTTTTAATTTTACAACTGTCCAATCAGACTGAATATAAACAAATCTCAAATGTACAGCGAGATACAAGAACATGTAAAACACAAATTTTACCTGAAAAATAAATTATTGTTGAATACATTTTATCACAGTAAGAGAAAGAACATTAATGAGACATAAACAATTATTTTTAAGATGTTTTCAAAAAATAAATAAAAGTCATAATTAAAAAAACATTAAGAACAGCTCAGCAAAATACATACAGACGGATATATATTTAATTAATATTTTTTTCAGAATGATCATAGCTTATTAAAAAGGTGTTTGTAGGCAATAAAAATATGAATTAGAATTGTAAAAAGTGTTTCAAATAATTTCAGTATGGGTTATCACAGAGTAATGAGGGCTGTTTAATTTTTTAACATTTAACATGCAGCAAACTGTTAGTGTTAGGTACACACACATGTATTTCACCTACTTTAAGGCACTGTCTTTTAAAATCCACTTTTCACATATTTTATTTGTTTGCAATCATGGTTAAATGTTTATTTTGATTAATGCAGATAAACCTAAAAATACTAATTCCTTGAGGGAAAATTATTTAAAATACTCTTACTGTGAATGTATCAGGTTTTTCAACTTTTCAATGTATGACAATATATTTGGACTATCAGATAAAAATAGTCAGGATTAGTCGTTTTTTTTAAATTCTAAATATACATGCCTATGCAGCTCTGAAACACTTATAAGCTTTCTGATTTTACAAGTATATATATATATATAATAGATTACTGCATATATTCAAAAAGGTTTACTATGCGGGATAAAAAGAAATTCCCTTTATCTTTCAACAATATAGATGAAGCATGGTTTTAAATTATCATATGAATAAAGCTTTTTAAAATGGATGATATGATTACACCAACATACTGCTTATATCAATATCATTGTTTGGTTAATTGATTAGATCTATTCATTTATTCTGTTTATCATTATAATATCATTTAGTTAATTAATTAGAGCTATTCATTAATTCTGTTTATCACAATATCATTGTTTAGTTAATTAATTAGAGCTATTAATTTGTTAGACATAATGCATTAACTTCTTTGCACTAGCTGGTCGTGGCAACACCTTGTGTGGGTGATGAATATGTGGAGCCACACATGCCAAGTACGGAGACTTTTCCAGCATACCCAGGCTGTGGGCCTCACAACAGGCTGAATAGGGGCGCTTGTTGATCGAGAGATTGTTTTTCTTGGATCGCATGCGTGGGCTTGGAGATCTCTTTTTACGAAATTCAGGAGATCTGTGTTTAGGAACTTCTGCTACAAAAATTCTTTCCGTTCCTCCCGCGTTACTTGTGATCCCGTTGAGAGAAGCAAATTTCATTTCTAAACGTGAGGACAATTCACTAGAGCAGCTCGGGGACTGGGCACGATGAGCTCGATGACGAGTCTGGACAGCCACTACGTTAGGTAGCTGGAGGGCTAAAACAACAAACATGAAGCAGACTTAAATTATGAACAAAGCTTTAAGTCTAGAACGTCCCACATAATACAATTAGCTGGAGGGCTAAAACAACAAACATGAAGCAGGCTTAAATCATGAACAAAGCTTTAAGTCTTGAACCTCCCACATAATACAATTAGTTTGTCTTTGATTGCAAAAAAACTGGTGTGCTATCTATTAATATACTTAGGAATACTCAATGAAGGAATACTTTGATAGTAAAATAAAACTAAACTTGACCAAAAATGGTAGCAGAACAAAACTGTCTGATCATATAGAAACAAATAAAGAAAACGAGTATGCAAAATCTCCAACCATTTGGAACTCAATTTTTAAGCATTTGTTGAGTGTAAATAGCAGCACAGTGTAAAAAATTTGACCTCTCTTACCCATGACCTCATCAATGGTTGTGTCACTCTTACAGCAGTCACAGTTGGCGACAAAACACGGCTGCTTGAGAACCTCACTCACTGTGTGTCTCATAAAACTTTCAAATGCAGAATACTCAAGAGCACAGTAACGTCCATGCCAGGCAATGTATCCTAGTCAAAATGTAAAGTAAAACAATATTTAAAAGGCATTCATATGTGCAGAATCTGCTTATTAATTTGTATTAGGATCCAAATTTCAAATGGAAATTAAAAAAAAATGTATCTACTGTTATTATGTTAATGTTATTTTATTTAAATAATAAATTTCTGCTTCTTGATTGCTACTGTGGAGCAGCTGGTAAAGTAAAAATATATCAGATTACACGACAAGTAAGACTGTGATTACCATCAGGGTGGATGAACAACAAAGTTGGAACACCAGCGATGCCCAGCAGCTCTGCCAAATCCATGGGTTTTTCTCCTGTTTTATCAGCCTCCACCTTAGAGTCTGTGACAACAAAACAAAATTAAATCTTTCTAACTAATCAACAAGGTTTCAACAATTTGCTGCTTTAGCTTGAATTTTAGCAATTCAATAATTTTAGATTTAATTTAGGTAAAACTATTTACTAATCAGATCAGTTAAAAAAAAGATGAATGATTTAACCTATTTTAAATCAAAATCTTACCACGACTTCTGCTATTCTGAGTTTTATAAAAATGTGAATCACATTCCGATGTTATGTGCCAGACAGATTTATCCTCAAACCAGTTGTTGGTGGTAATTGTGTGTCTCAGCAGTTTTTTCTCTTCAGGTTTGGATGGGCCACAGGCTACAGCCACAAAGGACATCTAAAAAATATTTTTTTATTAATATCTGTTCTATTGGATATTGAGAAGTCAAACATTTTTCTCATAGAAATTGCAGTAGATGCAAATAAATACATATCCTTCATAATCATCATCTCCCTACAGTTGTAGTTTAACTGATCAAAGCTGATTACAGCATGTGTAACTTAAGCTTTTATTCAAGAACTTTAAGTAAGCAAACATTTGTCTAAGTTTAAATATATCTAAGGACAAATAACAAATTATATATAGCTCTACAAATAGTAATAGTGTTAAATCACTTAATAATATAAGAGAAGAAGTGCATTAAAAAAACTGGTTACCTCTGCTGTATTCTCTCTGGCATATCTAATAAAGCTGTCCATGTATTTCTGGGAGGCTAAACACCAAGGTGTCCAGAACAAAATGGCAGTCGGGCAACTTCTTTTATGTGTGGACATTAGTGGCTTGAATTCTCCATCAAATATGTCATATAAATTGCAAGATGGAAGTGGGACTTGCTTGCTTAGGAGCCCCTGATTGGCTAGTTTTTTAGCCACTTGTCTTTCATATACTATAGAATCTTGAAATTTACAGCAGCCACTAGCTGGGTATCTATGATGTAAAAGTAATCTTTAAATAGATTTCTAAATGACTTAAAACTATAACAGAGGCTTAAAAATATTTTTTATAAAATCAATCAACAGGTAGTAAAATAAAAACTAAGACAAAAAAAGTCAAATACGATCAAACTATATTTACAAAAATACATCTAATGACAATCTAGAATTGTAGTTACAAGCAATTAAAATCATAACATCTAATCTATTTTTCAACAATGATAGTGTAAGAACTTACTTAGCATCTTGTTTATGAATACCATGATAGCAGTAAAATGTAAAAGGCTTGAAGGGAGTGGAAAGCACTTCAATGACATTGGACTCTTCACTTGTACCCTGAGGTTTGCTGCTGGCTGCCACCATGGAAATTTTGTAGCTTGGCTGATCCAGTCCCAGCTGAGAGAAAACATTTTTGGTGAAATAAAAACATTTTTATACAAACTTATTTTTTTTTTTTTTTTTTTTTTACAAGAAACTGATATTGCCTTACTAAATATAACTAATTTTGTGGTGTAAAATTGCAGTTGCTTTATAAACATGTGTAGACTGACCTGGATTCTGAGCGTTTTGATGCCAGAATGGATCGGACTTCCATATTGTTTACCATCAACCAAAACTTTGAACTCTGAAATCTGGATGTCAGGGTTGGACTGTGGGCACTGCCAACTTACAAGAGCACTCAGCTGACCGGTGCAGGTGTCCAAAGCACTGAAACAATCCTCCATCAGTTCTTCTATCCTTGTGAGTGCATGAGCACTGAGTACCACATCCTGCCAATCAATGAACATCAAAACAATAAACCCAGGGGTTTTTGCACATTTGTACCCAGGAACTTATGAAAACAATGAACTCATGGAATACTAGCAGCACAATTTTTACACATGAACATATCAAAATAGTGAACCCTAGGAACACTTGTACAATTTCTAAACACTAAACCAACACAGCTACAAAGGTGGGAATTTTTAAGAAACCCAACGCTACTTTTTATTCACTCAATTTGCTTTTGTCCAGATTTTTATGAATAAACAATAATCACATAAAAATTATTTACATAATCTCTAAGATTATTTGACTAATAAACATATCTTACTGATCTTAAATTGTTATATTTTAAAGCTAAAAATTATTTTTTACAACCATTCAGCTTACAAGATTAAAATATGGATTAAACTGGCTATTAAAAAAACGCACCTCATTTTTCTCCGACCTCAGTGGATATGACAATGTTCCAAGTTTTTTCAGCTTATGTCCAACTCGCCTAATTAACCTGACAAGATAATTAGTGTTTGTGGGTTTAAAACACAACAGTTTAAATATGTGATCTATTTTAAATATTTTAACATTACATACAAAAAGGATTCATAATTCATAACCTTAATATCTATAATCCAGCAAAGCACTATATATATTCCTTCAAATGTCAACAAATTTGTACCTGTCTCGTTTGTTGACAAGATCACATGTAAATTTTTCAATTTGTCTACGGTCATCCAGACCTACAACAGTCAATGTGATTCTAGGGGGGTCAGGCGAAACAGCAGGTTGCATGGAGAGAGATTCAGATCTAATGACTGTGTCTGTTCCATACAGCTAGAATATAAACAGGGTTATGTTACTGGAGGGAGCCACATCTACATTACATACAAATATCTAACCTTTTTAAGAATTGATGGTAGAAATAATCATGAGAGAATAGTACAATTTTTATAATGCTAATGCTAAATTGTGTAATTTCTACACTTAACATAGCATTAACTGTTGGAGTTTATAAAGTATGATCAATTACTGAAACGGTGTATTGGATTTGACATTTACTTTAGAGTTGAAACTTGTCATACATTAAATGATCGCAATTAATATTTTAAAATTTTAGAAGGCTCTCTAATGTAACAAGCAGCCTTTATACTTCTCATCAAAATTTCAAATGAATTAGGGCCTACTTACATAAACTTCCAAGTAAACATTGTAGTCTCCCTTCTTCAGATTTTTTATCTCCCCTTCCCTGCACTCTGGGTGGATTGGCCCAACAGTTTGAACAAGTTTTTCTGTTCCAGCCTCTTCACAACAAAGCTAATGAAATATAAAAGTTCATTTTGAGTTGTCTGTTATACATTAAGATTCAAATTAGTTAACAGATTACGAGAAATTATCCCCTCTAAAAAATAATAATAATAACTTATTTAATTTTAATTAGTATGTTAAAATAAAATATTACAATAACTGTTCTAGAGTCTACCTTACAATGTTTAATTTTCACTCTTTTTTGAGAAACAAGATATTGGCTACCTTATGTTACACTTTTAATCCTTCTATGATAACTATTCTAGTGGCTACCTTATAGCCTAATATTTAGCTCTCAGTCTGTGAGATACAAGATATATTCTAGTGGCTACCTTATAATATTTCATTTTTAGTCCTTCAGTGATATTACTATTCTAGTGGCTACCTTATAATGTTTCACTTTCAGTCCTTCTGTGATATAACTATTCTAGTGGCTACCTTATAATGTTTCACTTTCAGTCCTTCTGTGATATTACTATTCTAGTTCTAGTGGCTACCTTATAATGTTTCACTTTCAGTCCTTCTGTGATATAACTATTCTAGTGGCTACCTTATAATGTTTCACTTTCAGTCCTTCTGTGAGATATGGCTCCTCCCAGCTGACCCTCAAGGTTGAACTACTCAGTGAAGGAAGACGCTTCACATACGGTGCCCTTGAACCTGGCCAGGTGACAACAAGTGGATCGGATGGTTTGCTGTTTAGTGTGTCCCCAGCAGTTAAAGCCTGAAAGATACATTACAATATTTTTTTACTATTTACATTAATCAACTAGCATCATTACTTTTAGGTTAGTTTAAAAAGGATGCTACATTTGCTTCTTATGTATCGATGGAACATATTTTTACTTCAGTCAGTAAACATTTACATCTGCCAACATTTAGTTCAGTCAATATTTGTGTCAGCCGACATATAGTTCAGTCAATATTAACGTCAGCCAACATGAGATGATGACATACCTGAACCTGGAAGACGTACTCCCTACACCACTTCCCTTGCGTGTACGTGTAGCTCAGCTGATCTGCATTTAAAATTTCCTCCACAACACCATTCACGTAAACCTTGTAACCAACAACATAAGCTTCCCCGTATGTTGTTGGCTTCTCCCATTGAATGGCAATGTAGCGAAAATTACAAGCTCTGAAACCATTTTGCAACAGATTAAAACAAAAATAATAAAAACATTTAAATATTTAAATCCTAAAGACTAAGGGGAGATCCATTTATGACGTCCACAAAAATTTCGAATAAATTTGTTAATAAATTCAACATATGGCCGTCCACAATGACCTGTACGCATCTCCTACATAATAATAATTACTGTTCATTTAAAATTGATCAGTCTAAAGCAATAACAGACAGACTGACCTGACAGACAGCTGCGGAGCATCAGGAGGAGCAGATGTTTGTATTGTCAGCTGTTTAGATTTTTCAATGATTTGCCCATTGGTTGCTAGACCAACAACTCGAACAAAGTGTGTTGTCCCTGGCAGGCATTTGTTGATGACACAGTTGGTGTCTGCTTTAGACAGTTTTACCTCCCTTTGCTGGTGAAAACAATCGGTTTCAAACATTTTATTTTAGACTTGTTTTCATTTTTAAATTACATAACTTAGAACATTAAAACGAAATTCAAATGAATGGATTTTAAACTTTTAAATTGCCCTCTTGATGAATGTTATTGTTTTCATTTTAAAAATTAGAGTAAAATAAAAGTTAAAGAGACACAGTTGGTTTCTGCCTTGGACAGTTTTACCTCCCTTTGAGGGTGAAAACAAATGCTATAAAACATTTTATTTTACACACATTTCCATTTTTTAAATATATACTTATTACTTTATAATTAAACTGAGGTTAATGCATTTGAAACAGTTTAAAACTGCCCTTTCTGCTGACTGCCATTGTTTTAATTTTAAAAATGAACAGTCCAAGTGACACTTACACTAGGTTGAGCTACACTACTCCACTGTATCTTGTAGCCGGCCACTTGATCTGTTTCCGTGAACTGACTCCAGTCTAGCTGAATGCTGGTCTCTGTGACCTTGACAATCTTGACTGGAATACCCAGCTCCTCAACCACAGACTCCTCATGGGTCAGTCCAGAGCTGCTGTGGCCACTAGGGTTAATGACCAGTGTGTTGGACTTCTGGGAATCCCCGTATAAAGGCTTGCTGCTGACTGCTACAACACACACCCTATACGTTCTGCGGGACATGAAAGGGTTTTTTCTATAACACACATCTCAGGTGATATAACATTTATTTATCATGTACAAGGTTCACCACTAAAACATACATCCCAGGTGATATAAGATTTATTTATCATGTACGAGGCTCATCACTGAATATGACTCTGGGAAAATTAACTGAGAGAAATATTACCTGTTGGCTCTACAGGGGATGGTTGCTTTAGTGTGTTTGGCACTCAGGTCACCTCCAGCTTTCTTGTCATTTAGAAAAACCTGACAAAAAGTATTTTTTTAAAAAAGTAATTTGGTGTAGCTGTACTCACAAATTTTTCTTTTAGTGTAAAATGATCATTTTATTATCATGATTTGCTTAATCAAATGCAATGTAATATTTTTGTATCAACAAAGTTATTTAATTTTTTGACTTAATCACACATGACCTCTGACCTCACCTGATAACCTTTGACCTCCACACCACCATAGAGTCTAGGCTCTCCCCACTCTATACAGAACTCATCAGGTTCCACAGACCTGAGAAATATCTGTGGTGCATCAGGAGGTCCAGGGGTCATGACCTGAACTTCCTGTCCATGTTGGGGCAGAACATCTGTGTAGTAGCTGGCTTCTATCTTCATCCTGTACATGGTCCTACAAGAAAACAGTGGTCCATGGGTTAATGGTCAGCTACTTAGTGGACATTGACTGTAATAGCCAGATACACATACAACAAATCATTTTTGATATTCAGGCTAAAAACTGAAAAGAATTTTTTTAAATTAATTTTAAGTCAAGAATAAATAATTGGTAAGTTTATTTCAAAATGATATTCAAAATAAAGAAACTAAGACTATGCTGCTTAATATAAAGCTAAAAAATGAATAGAAATAGACTTGGTGTTAAGTTTTGTCACCCACCGAAAAACTATGTAAAAGAAAGATTGATTTTTATTATTAATTGATTCTTGTGACTGGTACATAATATAAACTTTGTATAAGAAAGATTGATTTTTGCTCTTAATTGATTCTTGTGACTGATACATAATATAAACTTTGTATAAGAAAGACTGAGTTTAGCTCTTACTTGATTCTTGTGACTGATACATAATATAAACTTTGTATAAGAAAGAGTTTTTTCTTACTTGAGCCTTGTGACTGGTACTGTACATCTTCTCTGGTCTGGGCCAGCATACTTAGTCTGGATAACTCTGTCATCCATTGAATACCAGATGATGCTGAACTGTTTGGGCTGGTTGGAACTGCCCTGGACTTTCCATGTTAACTCTATACTTCCAAATGAGCCAGAATTTTCTTCTGTTGGCTCCACAAATTTGGCTTCCAGAGATTCAATGAATCCTGAGAAATAAAGCAGGAGTTTTAGTTTCATTGCTTCTTACTAATTTACTTTAAACTGATAGTATTTTAGAGAGGAGAAAATTTGCATGATAAATACAATAAAGATTTGCTACAATTAAATTGTTCAATTTGAGTGAGGAAAATTTTTGATTTGTGTGAGGGAGATGGATAACTGAACATAGAAAAGAATGTAGGAAACAGTGTAGTAAGGAACATGAGTATAATGGTGGCCAAACCTTCCTGATTTTTTGGTAATGTGATCTCAAGAGTGTCTGATGGTGATTCATCCAGATTGGGATCATCTTGTAGTAAAGTCATGAAATCTGTTTCTTCACTATTGATATTTTTGTACTATAAAGAAAAATAATTTAAAATCCTTTTATTCCACCACAAAATATAATAAAGAAATTGTTTTTAAACATTTTAAATATTCATTTTTGAAAACAAAAGGTTGAGACTTAAAAAAATCTTTTGTAAGTAACCCAGAATTTGTTAACCTTCTGCTTTTTATTGATCTTGTCCTGCTCAGTACAGGTCATGGCCACCAGGACGACCTTGTAGGTCCGGCCTGGCTTACATTTGGTCAGTGTGCAGGAGTTGGAGTCTGGACCAAAACACGACTGAAGTTTGCCATTGATTTCAAGCTTGTAGCCTAGCAGGTATCTAAAGCAAGAGAAACAAAACAACAATGGCACAAACATTTCTTGTAGCATGCAATGCTGCACAATAAATTCATAAGTTTAGATTAATGCAAAAGTGAAATTTTAGTGAAGAATGAACATTTTTTAATGTTCCAAAGAAACAAAAAAAAAGTTTAATTTAATTAGATACTTTTCAAAAGTAAGAGAAAACTAATCGCATGAAAGTGTTGATATAAAAAAGGTGAAACCAAACCAATAAATAAACCCTTCAAACCTTCTCAAACACTTGGGGTTTCCTTCTGGATCTTTTCCCACAACAGACAGGAGCGGGGGCTTCTCCCAGTAGAGTGTGGCACTGTTCTGGGTGTAGGAGGTCACAAGCAAACATGGAGATTCTATTGGGGCTCTTGTCCTGGCCACCAATGGCTTGGACGGCACATGGGCCGTGCGACGGTTCTTCTCAATGTTATGCCCATCCCACTGGTCAGGGTCCAGAGAGGTTTTGACACTGACCACTGCCTCAATAGTGATCTTGTACTGACCACCAGGGGAGAGGCCATCTATGGTCAGGGTATCTTCATTAGGAAGTAGCTTAACATGACTAGCTATTTGCAAGTCTTCAATGTCATTGGAGGATGGGTTCTTCACGTCTGACCAGCGCACAATTTGTCCGGTTAATTTATTTGAGCCGTAGACAAGTGGAGGGACCCAGTTCAAGGTCAAGGATGTTGTGGTGGCTTTGATGACGTGGATGTTGCCAGGAGCTTCAGTGCCAGACGTTTTGATGACAATACTGGAGCTGGGTAGCCACAAGGATTCCTCACTGGATGCCAGAACATTTGGGGGAAATCCTCGGCGCTCCTTCAACCCATTTTTGTCTGGAAGCTGGTCAAAGAACTCTTCAGTGACAGCGATGACTTTGAGAACATAATCTGTTTTCTCATTCAACCCTGTAACATCCACATATGTGGCATCTGGTAATGTGTCTACAGAAACAATATGTTTGTCTTGGTGGTCTCTGGATACACATTCAACACGGATCCCTGGGGGAGAATAGGGTTAAAACTGTTTAACTAAAAACAAAAATGAAAGTTAAAACAGACATGAGAATAGTTCTTTATCATTTATTATTTGGCAAAATGTTATATTTCCAACTTCAAGAGTTTTTCATGCTATACAAAATTAAAAAAAAAAATTGTTTACAAGTAGAAAGCAAGATAGCCTTATAGAAAATTAATATTTGGTCCTGATTTACAAAAAAACAAACTGAAATCACCAACCTATAATCTCTGAGCCATGTTCTTTAGGAGGATCCCATCCAACCTTTAAACTATGACATGTCATGGCAATGACCCCTATGTTAGATGGTGGGTCAGGTGGACTTGCTGTCCTGACATGCAGCTGCTCCGACTTGGAGGACAGGATGAAAGCATTCAGTCCGTCAGGGGTTTCATTCATAGCTAAGGGAGACAATGACAGGGGTTTCATTCAGAGCTAAGGGAGACAATGGCAGTGATTTCATTCAGAGCTAAGGGAGACAATGGCAGTAGTTTCATTCAGAGCTAAGGGAGACAATGACAGGGGTTTCATTCAGAGCTAAGGGAGACATAGGCCTTGCAACAAATGCATTTCAATAAATCTCCACCCATTGTATAAATGATGTACAGAGGAAAAGGTAAAAGTATTTTAAACTGCTGTGCTTACAGAAGCCCTCATCAAGGTCTGTGTACTTCTCCATCTTGCGAGCCTCCACCACCACAGTGTAGGCAGTGGATGGTCTCAGGCCACTAATCAATAGATGGTCTTCTGCAAGAAAGGTAAACACATAGCAGATGCAAGCTGTGTTTTTAATGTCTATTATTTTAGGTGCATTTATTTCCGTTAAAATTTCAATAAACACCAAAAAGTGATAGTAAAAATGAATTTTTAACAAAATAAAAGCTTCTACAACGCAACCTACCAGTTGTACTGTCACTTTGTATCTCATCTTGTGGCCTGTCACCTGGCCACCATGTCACTTGGTAACTGTCTGGCCGCAGGAAATGGGCTTTAGAGTCACTTGCTAAAAAACAGAAGTTTACAATGAAAAGAAAGTAAAACTATTACATTTACTTAACTAAACCTATTTTGGGTAAAGACTTAGGTAAAAGTTTTTCATTAATTTAGTCAAGTTTTGTTTCCTCTTGTTTATTTACAGATTTACACCCAAAATGATATGACATTCCTTCTCCATGCTGCATTAATAGATCATGGTTTTTGTGATGTGTTTTTGCCAAAAATTGAAATCATGAAAATATTTTTCTTCAAATTGCCTTCACTAAAGAGAAAATTGTGAAAATTTAAGTTACTTTTCTTCCATACGATTAGCAGTGAATGTCCAGTTGCCTTTTCACACCAGACCTCAACAGGTGCACTGACCAGCCCTGTGTAATGGACAACCAGCTTTGGGCCAGGCTTACAACCAGAGTAGTGGTCTCCATTAAATATATCTAAAAAAAAATATTTCTCATGAAATTTTGAAAAGGGAAATAATAAAACAAACGAAACACAAGCTAGACAACTCATACCTTGCATGAGTTGTCTCATAACAACTTTAAAATGTCTATTCTACCTGTTGTTTTTTCATCCTGCTGAGATGAGCCTCTGCCAGAATCTTTGTCCATTTCAGATTTTCTGTCAGATTTTCCCACTGGATGCTCTGTCAGAGCAATCAGCTGCAGTTCTATCTTCTCACCCAGAGTGACGTCCCTTATACGTAGGCTATTGACATCAGGGGGGATAATTGAGCCATACAACTTCCCATTCTTCAACATCTGGTAGCCCTAAAATAGAATTAAAACAATTTAAATTTTAAAATTTAAGGAATAGTTTCTGTTTTATGCCTAGATCTTGTTAATTTTTATGAATTTAGTCAAGTAATATTTAGAGTTAGGTGGACATTGATGTCCAACAGATTTAAGACATAAACTTTTAGGATAACATAATTACATATTGTATCACAACTATACTGCACCATGGTTTGATAGAAATAATTAAAAACAAAACCAATCAAGTAGTTTTAATAAAAAATGTTAGTTAATTCTATTGCAATAAATTTAATATAGAAACAAAAACATGTTTCCTACTGAAATGTAAGCGTCTCCGCACTGCTGGGGCACAACCCATGTGACGTCAATGCCCTCTGGGTGTAAACCTTCCAGTCTCAGTTTTGGTGACTTGGGGGCAGCAGGGGCCATCACTGGGATAATGTTGGACATGGGACTTGCAGACAGGCAGTAAATGTGTTGGGCTCTGGTGTCAAGCACTCTCTCACCAGCCACAGCCTGTAGAGCAGATAACATTTGTTTTAAATGCTAATTTTTTTATAAATATTTAGGATAACAACTAATGAATGTATTTGTTCTGTCATGATGAGAGGATAAAGTTTCCAATACGGAACACAAACATTCACAAAATTTCTGATAACAAATTCTACAATGTTCCTGTGGTTCCTTTAAAAAAGCTTCTTGATTAGCCATACTCACCTTTTTGTATTGGTAGTAGACACTATTACCTATCAAATTACTCAACCAATATCCCTGCTGTTAACCCATCTCAAAGACTAACCATATAGATTAAAACATAGGTTACAGTATATTATAAGTGCTACCAGCTGTATGTGGTTACAACAATATAAAAGAGCATGACTTACCTTGACAGAGACGTCATAACTTTGCTCAGATGACAGGTCTGTCAGATAGAACTGGTAGCCTTGCTTATCATTCTGTGGGTTAGCTTTCACCTCCCCATGCCATTTGTTGTCTATGAAAATACTAAAAAATCAAATCTAAAATTACATTTCTGATCAGGAGAATCTTATACATTACAGGTAAACTCTACACATTACAGGTAAGCCCTATAAATTACAGGAAAACCCTATACATTACAGGAAAACCCTATACATTACAGGTTAACCCTATACATTACAGGTAACCCTATACATTACAGTAAACCCTATACATTACAGGTAAACCCTATACATTACAGGAAAACCCTATACATTACAGGTTAACCCTATACATTACAGGTAACCCTATACATTACAGTAAACCCTATACATTACAGGTTAACCCTATACATTACAGGTAACCCTATACATTACAGTAAACCCTATACATTACAGGTAAACCCTATACATTACAGAGACAGAAGAGTTCAACATGATACAAATTTTGCCAGTACAAAAATGTCATCTGTAAAAATATTACCTGTAAAAGGTTATTGTTTCCTCATTAGACCTCTGGTCCTGGGCCTCAGGTTTGGTCCAGGCAATGAGGACACTCCCCCGCTTGTAGGATGGCTGCTGGGAGACTATGGGCACAGGTGGGACTGCTGGACAGGTGATGCGCAGGGTCGGAGATGATTCACTTTCCTCCCCACCAAACTCTGAGAGGGCAGCAACAGAGATGCTCAGTGTCTTCCCTGGCGAAATATGAAAAATTATTTTTGTTTTATTGAAACTGTTACAGAGAGAAATCAAATTCAATTTGATAAGGTTATGTGTTGATCTTTAAAAATAATTTTATCAGTTGTCTTCATGTATATCTTATTAAAAATCACTTCCAGGTATATTATATTGAAACAAATTTCAAAGTTTATTTACCTAATGAAATAATAAATGTAACTGACCTGGTACGAGATTGTTAATGACCATTTGCCTCACGTCGTTGTTGCGTCTGCCACCCAGTGGTTTACCATCCACATACAGCTGATAACCGGTGACCTTGACATTACTGTCATCATTTTCTTCAAACCACTCTAAAGAACACTAGTAAATAAAAAGAGGCAACATTTGGGCATTCAATAATAATATATTCAAGAAAAAGTTTTTCAATAAATAAAATACTCTGTCAGTTTTGGTTTGAACTAAATAAAATTATTTTAGTTTTACATACTCATTATTAACTCTCATGCCAAAGGTTTACTACAGTTTCAACTTGCTGGAAAATTACTTTTTCATGCTCTATTATAAGTTCAGTTTCTACTTTTTACCATGAGAATTTCTTACCTGGTTCAAATCAACTCTTGTGGCCCTGATAGTTGGGGCCCTTGGTGCCCCTACAGTTGTGTAGTACAGGACAGATGACGTTGTCTGGATCTCACACGGGTCATCTTCTTTAGCCAATGAAAAGTTTCCCACAACATAAATTCTGTATGTGTGACCAGCCACAAGGCCATGCACCATGCAGTGATATTTGTCCTCCAAGTTCCAACAGTGCTGGACCCCTCTCACTTGCTTGCCATTCTCAACAATATTGCATTCAAAGCTGGGACAGATTATTTAATCATTCAATACTGAGACAGATAATTTAATCATTCAATTTGAGACAGATAATTTAATTCTTTAAAACTGGGACAGATCATTTAATCCTTTAAAATTGGGACAGATAATTTAATGAATGTAATTAATTCACAGAAAGTTGCAAGTCTTCCAACTTCTTGTATATTTAGAAATTGTTTTCAGTATTGTCTTTAACAACTATTTGAGCTGTGAAGCACACAAGTTTATCAGCATTAGAAAAGCTATAGTCATAAATCATACATAAAGATGTTTTGTTTACCTAATATCACTGTTTATCTTGCTGGTGAATTTAGTTCCAATGACATTAACAACAAAAAGTCTGGGTATGTACTGAGGGTCTATATTTGAGGGCATTGACCAGCCAATCAGCATGTTACTTCTGCTCAATGACTTGGCCATAATGGCCGGAGCTGGCAAGACCCCATCACTAGTTGCTTGAACAAACTATCAAAGAAAAAATATATTATTTTAAAATACAATTTTTTAAAATGTCATCTGCTAATAAAACACCATTAATTCCAATTAATTAAGAACAAACTTCTTTACCTTTATTATAATATTTACTAATGAAAAATGAAACATGAGTTACCTCTCCTTCATTCACTCTAATCATTGATGTTTCCTCAGATGACTTGCTGGAGTCTGGAGCATCTTTCAAACCAGGTGCCAGATTTTTCTGCACCTCGATCACAGCCAGACCAGCCCCTTTAAACTTTGGACTATTAAACTCATCTGAATTGACCAGCATGTCTGATTCCTTGAAAGCTGATGCTACACTGAAATCAGCCTTTAAAAAATACAAAACATATTTTTGTTGTGGCAATATTACTTCTGAGAAAAGTATTTTCATGGCGTGTTAAAATGCCCCCTATGACAGAAAACTTGCTAATGTACCTACAATAAAGATAGCTGCCAATGGGCTAATCAATACAGAAAAGTGTTGAGTAAAATTAAAATCAACTATCACTACATTTTATTAATATTAACTGTAATGCAAGACAGTAGTATAGAATAAAGGTTATTTTATTTTTATCTCAATTGTTAGAAAAGAACAACCTCCTCAGAAAACTTGAATGAGAATCAAGAGAGTGCTGTGTTTAGTGTTTTAAATAAATAGGAAATTGAATTTAGCAGTTACCTCTCTTGCTAGCGTTTGATCTGATGTCTCCATGTTTCTAGAGGCATCCCAGAAGATGGTGGGCTGGTCATCTTGGATTCGTGTCACACTTTCTGTTTCTGATGAGGCTACAGAATCATCTGTTGGTTTCTGATCATCAGACTTGACCAGTCCAGATACAGCTATCAAGTTTGCTGATTTTTGTAATTCTGGTTATACCAAGTAAAAACAATTTTTAAAAAAATACTACAACTTTTTGTATTCTGGAAGAAATATTCTAGCATAAAATAGTTTAAACAGTAAAAAATCAAAATCTTTACAAAAATTATTCAAACAAAAATAATTAGACAATCTTCTACTTAAGAAGCAACAATCATAACATATCAATGTCATAGAACATGCATGTATCATGGAACTCAACAAGAACATCATGATAAATGTAAAAAACTTAACCGGAACAACAACTCAAAAAAACCTGTTACATTGAATTTACATATTGAAAGACAGAGAAAATGTAATGGTGCAGGCCTTATGCAAGTGAAAAGGATTCAGCTTTTAATGATGCTTTTAAAGACACCTACCAATTGCAGATACTTTGATACACTTTTTAAGTACCTCTCTTAACATATTAAATCAATGAATGGCTAAAAATACACATTTTTATGTGACACAAGTCAATGCAAAAAGTGATCGAAAACAAAAGAAATCAATCAGTGAACACTTTGTTTTTGTGAAGTGAAGATCAGCCATCATCCTGTGATGTGTGAACTGCCAAAATATCTGGCCAAATGTTCTGGATTTACCTTCAGTCAGAGAAATATTTTCCTTCTCCCCTTCAGCTTTAAACATGTCTAAATACCTGGCCAGCATGTTTGCATTTTCTTCTGGCAGGAACTGAGGCACTGTGCTATTCCTATCTTCTTGATGTCTGTATGGTCTATGTGAAAGGTCTAAGGAACAAATACTGTTATCTGAAGAAGCATGGCGTGAAATCTTTTTTCCTTTAGTGTGTGAATGTCCTCCAAATAGATGAGGTAATCTTGGTGTCTTTTCAGGCCTGTGATCATAAACACTTATATCACTGTCTCCATCATCTTTTACTGTATGTTGCTTTGGCAAATACGGCATACGTGGAGTGTTGTGTCCGTACTGCAGGTGATGGGATGGGGACTGGTACAGCTGCTCCACACTCTCATCAGTATCAGAAAACGAGGAATCTGAATTCAGTCCTTTGGTGTAATATTTAGAAGACTTGCTGGCATCATTGGAAAACCTAACTTTTTTCTGGTCATATCTAGATAAAGGCAGGGTTGAGTCATCAAAAGAGTACTGTGGAGAATGGTACATTTTTGACTGCTTCAAACTGGAATGCATTTGTTGAGCAACATTATAAAATCTGTCCTTGGTATAGTTCCCAGCTGTACTGAAAGAGGCAGATGAAGATTTGGAGGCGAGGTGGTCTTGAGTTCTTCCTTGCTGCTCATCAAAGCTGTGACTTAGGCCAGATCTGTTTCTGTTGTTACTTAAAACTGACCTTCTATTCATTCTAGTAGACTGGGAAGCATCAGCTTCTGCTGGTCCTTGGAGTGGAGACAATGTATGTTTATCTCCCCTTGGTCTGTTTGACCTACTTTGTTGTGCATACTTTCTGCTGTTATAAATAGCTTTGTTATATCTCAGGAATTTAAAAATGAACAGGATCCTCCCAAGAACTTTTGAGACAGTGTAGAAACTAATCCTAGCTTTCAACAACTTCTGAGTCTGGAAGTAGCTCTCTCCTTCCAGTAGAGCAGCTATATAGGATTCTTCAGTTGGATAGGAGCAGACACATATTTTATGGCTTGGTAAGGGGAGCAACTCAGATAATATATTCTGTTTCTCTATACAAAGACAAAAAAATATACAAAACTGCATCAATTTGTTCCAATAGTTGAATGCATTTGGAGACACAATGTTTCACACATCTCTCATTAATCAATTAGTTCTATAGATGTATGTCAAAAAGGAATCAATTTTGGGTATCAGTTTGAAAAGTTTTTTTAAAGATGTTTATAATATGCAATGTACATCATTATATTGTATATATTTTTTTATGATCATGTTACATTTTTTTGACAAATGACCCATCAGTTGAAGAGATTTAATATTTAGAAGAAAATTGCTCCCAGTTAATGATGAATAGGCCTAATTATAGAAGACAGTCTTTCTTTTCTTACCTTTACCAAATACTTGATCTTTATCTGAAGAAAAAAAAACACTGATTAGTTCATGCTTTCAATAAACTATTGAAAAAATCTTATGATTAACCATAGCTACCTTTAATCTGCTTAATTTGTGCACATTAGAAATAGTGAATTTTCATGCTGTATATCACACAATTTAAAAAGAAAATACAGTACATCATACAAATATATGTGATATCACAAATATATCAGAACTTTTCAAAACATTTAAAACATGCAATTTTTTTGTGATTTGTAAATAGCATCGGGTACTTATTGAAAATTTAATAAGTTGAAAAACAAGTTTAAACTGAATTAAAGCTAAATTTAAAATTAAATTATTTTTTGTTGACTAGATAATGGAAAAAAAAGAGGGGCTAGATCTGATAGTTTTTTTCCTGATAGTTAATGTAAATACAAAGTCAATAAATGCAGCTAATTTTTTTATAGTTTTAAATCCTCAAGCAACTAGTTTACCCAGCTCTTTGTCATGTATATAAAATCTTTGACAGAATTTTCAAAGAACTGAAAATACCTTGGTCAGGCATTCTCTTTTGATGTGTTTTCTTTTGTGAGGCTGTCTCTGAGTCATCCTGCCCAGATGTAGAGTCAGTTTCTGTCTCCCAGATTGGGTTATCAGGGTCTAGCAAGACATTTATAGATTTACATGGTCAGATTGCTCTGAAGTCTTCTTTGACTGAGGTTAGGATTTACACATTGTGAATCAATCTATGCTCTTACATATAATTACGCATGTATTTAACAATAATAGATCATCATGCATAGCATGCCAGATAATGGTGTCTAATTATACAGAGAAACATGATATTTTTAATTTGTGAAAAAATGAGTACAAAATCTATATTACAAAAATATGAATACCTTTACTAAGAAAAACAAATTAGTAATTGGTTTTAAGATGTTCACATTTTATTTTGTAAAATTCAAAAAGTAATTTTTAAATAAAATTATTTCTGAAAACTTGATTGCATTACAAACCATGATTTTGTAAGAGTATCTATTTCTGGGAGAAAATTAGACTTTATCATAAAAGGTTTTGTTTCTCTGCTTTATTTTATTTGAGTGAATTTTTAGAAAAGTTGTAAGAAAAATGAGTGAAGAAAAGGAACAAATGAAATAATATTATTACCATCCATCTGGGACATGTAGCCAGAACCTTCAGTCACCTCAAGATACTCAATGTAGATATCTTCACCATCTTCTTTTTCCTCATCAGGTGGGTACACAAAATTGCCAGTTTCTAATGGTAGCTTCACCTCCAGTACGTTGGATATACAGGATTTTTCAGAAGCTGATCAAAATTAGTTGTAAAAAAATGAAATATGTAATAAAATTAGTTGTAGTTTAAAACAAAATGAAAACAAGCTTTCCAAACACTTACTTGTTAGCAGCGCTTTAACAAAAACCTTGTAAACAGCATTGAGATCGCAGCTTTCAATCACAACTTTACACCTGTTAGAGTTGGGATTTGGCACCAGCTGCAGGAATATTTTTTTCACAAAGACATTTATTTAAAATGAAAAAAAATATATCATTAACTAGTTATAAAATTCATGCAAGGTGTAGTTTTAATTAAGATGATTATAAAAAAAAAACATTAGATTATCTAGTATTTATTCAAGCATCTTCTAGGTTACTACACATTTTATTGAATAAAGACTAAATAAAAATAAAGACAGTCTTCTTGAATTATTTTAAAATAAAGCCATGTAGGGTATTTTACACAAAAGTCTGTAATGGGTGGGTTTAGTTAACTTCCCTTACCCAGCAATAAATAAGAAAGAAGTAAGTTCCGCTTAAACAAAACTAGATGCACTAATAATGCAACACCAATCTTTAGTTACAAAGCTTTGATTAACTTAACAATACTGCACACTACAACCTAATTTCCTAACACTACAATTATATAAATATAAATCTGCATAATTAACAAAATAATTACCTTTGGTCCACACTGTTGATCATTCAGGAAGACAAGGTATCCATTCACGTGTCTGTCAGGCTTATCAATCGACATCCAGACAACTGCAATGCTGTCTTTCTTTTCAGTCTGAACTAATGAAATTACTGGCCCAATTTCCTCAGTTTCAACAGGACATTTCAAATGCTAGTTACAAGAAAAAAAGTTAGCCTCAGTTTAATTAGGTTTATTGCTCAAAACAAAATAATATATTATGTTAATTAATTAGAAAATTAATATTAAATTCTAAAAATGGAATATTATTTTACTAATCTTTGGTGAAATATTAATTAACCATGGTGTTTTAAAAAATAAATAGGATCTTGATTTGGTTCAGTGGACAACTTACAAGGTTGTTGGAATTAATGGCTACATTCTGAGGATCTTTAGGATAAGCCTTGACATAAATTTTGTAGGATCTGCCACCAGCCAACCCTGAGATGTTGACACTGTTGTTTGTTGGAGGGAACATTGGACAATAGCAGACGCCATTCAGAAATATATTGTACCTGTTGAAAAAATTAGTTTTGAGCTGGGATTTTTTTTAAATTTTAATACCAGATTCTACAACCATTTAAAAATATGTATGAAATATAAGTTACTCTTGATATATTGAAATGACTTAACTTTAACTTAGGCTTTATAAAGCTTTACCCTTTAATGTGTTCTTGAGTAATGTGTGGTTTAGGCAGCTCCCAAAACACCTCGATGGTCCCTGGGTCAGTCAGACACCCTCTGATGTAGGGGCGACAACCCCACCAGACCCACAAACTCTGTGACATAGTTTCAATAAGATGAATTTAGATTTAAACATAATGTAAATTTTCAGGTCTGTGATTGTAGTAAATTAATTTGATCCACTGGTGTGTGATAAGCTTCATTTAACAAATGGTATAGGATAGATCTGGGTACAGCAAAGCCAGGTGAAAATTTATCACTCAGTAATCCAAGACTTTGAACAGGGGAGGTGACATAAGCATAAAAAAAAAATCCTGTGCTTTGTTAAAACACTATCAAATGTCATTTTTAAAATACACTGGCCAGACAATAACAATCAGGTCTACATGTCTATGAGATTTGCAGACAAACTAGAGCTCAGAAAGATGTTTGAAAGGAAGTGGGGTGGATCAAACCCAAAACATCAACAGATAAGCAATACCTAAAAGAACTGAAAAAAGAAGCTAAAAATAATTTGAATGTCAGTCAAGAAAGATTCAATCAGCCATTGATGTTACTCAACATTAAAATCATTTGCACTGGTATCCTTCCTTACAGAAACACAAACTAGTGATGAATTTACCTGCTTTTCTGGGTCTTCTGGCTCCTCAGCATCAGTCAGTACCTCACTCTCCTCTTTAAAAAGTTTTTTCACACCATCTTTGGGTTCCACCCATATCACACTGGAATTGATGCACAAATAAAATTATCTAAAAAAAATTAATTTGTAGAAAACTATGCTGTGCATACCTGCAGCATTTTATAACCAATTGACAAAGATTTTAATAGCAAGACATCTGCACATTTTGGCCATTTTTATGTTCATATTAGTGTTAACACTGAACCTGAGGAAGGGGGATGGGGGGAATAAAATTGTTAACTGGCCCTAATGGGAGAGGGGGTAAATAAAATGTTCACACTTAACCTGATTGGGGGTGGGGGGGAATGTAAATTGTTTAACAGTTTAACACTGATCCTGATTAAAGGGAAGGATAAGTAAAATGTTTAACACTGACCCTAGTGGTGGTGGTGGCAGGGGTGGGGGGGGGGGGGCGAGGATAAAGTTTTGACACTGACCCTGATGTGAGAGGAAAACTACAAATCTCTCCATTCTTCACAGCAATGGCTCTAATGACTCCAGACTCTTTTAGTGTTATTCCTTTATCAGGTTTGTAACGCTTTAATATATAAAAAAATAGGATTACAGGGTATGGAACAAATTGAACATAGATAGAAATGAATCAATACAGGAAATGATGCAGCACATACCATTGTGTTGTCTAAATGTAGGGCTGGCAGGGACCCATCTGTTGTGTAGTGAATCTCTGCATCTTTTGTTTCACATTCTAGCTTCAAGCGTTTAAAACCATCAGCAGTTTGTACAACAGAGTCAGTAACAATCTTTGGTGTGGTTGTTTGATTTACTAAAACATAAGAGTTGATTAAAATTTTGGATAAGAAACTGCAACTAAACAAAAGATATTGTGATGAAGGGAAACTACTCAAGCAAAATTTAGTGGCAGATCGTTTCTACTATATTAAAAGAAGAACTTTAAAAAAAATATTTTTAAAAAGCTATTGCTTTTACAATTTTTATATCTTTTATTTTAATTCTAAATCACTATAACACTACTTAAACAAAGTCAAGGAATTTCAGCAGAAAAAAAAAATGTGTTGAAAATGAATGGAGAAAATGTACACTCACTGGGCTCTTTAATGTGTACAACACAAGAAAAACCAGGTGCACCCTGGGATACAACAGCATAGTCTCCACATTTATCAAAAGTGTAGAGAAAGCTGCTCTTCTCTATAATCCTGCCACTACTGAAGCCTTCAATGTTTGTAACTTCTTTTAGCTGTGCCTGGTAGAAATAGAGAACACTAAGCTATTTTTTACTGTCAGACCTATAACTGTTTTATTAAATTTAATATTGTAATAGATTTTGCAAGTGGTATTTTTTACAAAGCTTCTACATTTATGTGACAGAATAAAAATCGTACTGGTGCCCAATTAATATTTAGACCAGTGGTTTCCAAACATTTTGTCCCTTCTCATATTTTATAAAACCCCAAATTCTTGGTACATCCCCCTCGGGCAGATGAGGCTCGTTAGCTGGGGACAGCCACTCTTCTAGGAGAGACAACTCCAAAATTAAACAACTGCTGCCTTGTAGTTTGTTCTTGGTTGGACAAAGGCTATGGAAGCAAATCCAAAAAGAAAAGCAGGCTGAAATCGGAGTCAATGGCCTCAATGGCGCATAACCAGTTGACACGTAACGCTTAATTGTGTTGGAGGTGTGGTCGAGTCGGCAAAAAGCTCATGGTTGATACATTCGAACAGTCTCGAGTTCAAACCCACTGGCAGATAAATCTCGATCCCCTTCAACACTAATAATTAAGAACGAAGAAGAAGAAGAAGAGAAAGAAGGTACATCCTCAACCCCCACCATTTTATTTTGAGTATGGTGTCTGTACAAGTTAATTTATGATAAGACAATTATAAATTAAAAGATGAAGCTAATTATTTACTCAAACAATGGCAAGGATTTTTTTTTTAAGGATGCTTTTAAGCATGATTTTCTATCCTCTTTCTTGCAATAAAACTTTAAATAGGGCACCTAAACAAGTCTACAAATTATATATTTAATGAAGCTAATAGTTTTATATTTTAATACTAGAGACCAATTTTAATTCTAAAACTTAAGAAGTATTAAGAATAGACAAGTCTCTATATAAGAACTTTAATATTAACAGTTTGTGTAATAAGAAAGAATTTTCTTTTTTTTTTAAATTATCATTTGATGTCCACTTCTTTTCTTAAGACATAGTTACAGGTTATGTCCCTTGGTTATTAATAAAGACCCTCAAAATGTAGCCATGAATTCTAACATCCTCGTAAGTTATCCAATCGACCAAATATTCAGTAGAAAACAATTACAACTATTTTTAAATGTTTCTAAATTGTTAAATAATAGATCTAATACAATATTATAATTACATACTTATATATTTACTTATATCTGTATATTTTTATATTGTACATTCCCCTAGCACTAGAGTATGGAAACCACTGATATAGACAGGCTAAAGTAAACTTACGTTGTTTTTTGGGTCGGTAACATGTATTATGTTGTGTTCTCCATCAGTCTCTTTCCAAGTCCAAAGAACTGATTTACCCTAAAACATACAGAGAGTGCATGAATGATAATGCATTGTTAATTAGCCAAATTAATATGATACATACATATTTTGTATTTTAAAATATTTTAACCATAGTTTTTTTTTCTCCAAATATTCAATATTAGCTTCAGTAGCAACATGAAATTACAAATCTAAACTAACAAACATATAATATATTGTTAGCCTCTAGTTGTAAAAACTTACAAATTTGGCACCATTTTTAACTCTAATATTTCTAACCTTTTGCAAAAATATTTCTTTAGGGTGAAATCCACGTTTGTTCACTCTGATGATTGCATAGTCACACCTTTCATCACTAACAACAGCCTGCCAATATTTTCAGAAATAAGTTGGATTGTTAAGTTAGCAAAGTAGGGTTTATACTTAAATTTGGTTGAAGACTATTAATGCTTTATTAGAAAAATTTTGTTAAATATTTTAAAATAAAAACTATAAACTATAAAATAAGTCATTGCTAAATATTATCAAGGAATTATTCCAACCATAATGTTATTGTCCAAATTCTTGAAGGAAAGACTGTAAAATGGAGTAATGCCTAACTCATTGATGTTTTTTGCAATACAGCTTCTGAAAAATAGAGGGGGTAAATAATTTGAATTAAAGTAACATTACAATACTAGATTTGTGTTTTTAAAATTTATTTTTAAACAATTTTTTACTCAGCAATGTGTTAGATGAATTGCAAATTATCACTACATTTTTTTTACCTTTTGTTGGGTAGTAGGTCATTAACAGACAGAGGGTGGAAAGCCATGTCCAGATTTTTTAGCTGAATGACATCATTGGTGACAGGTGGATTTCTTGTCCAGCACACTATGTCAGTGACATTTACAGTCACTGTAGGGCTAGTTTTGTTACTAACTTCTACTTCATGAACCTGGATCAGGAAAAATGTCAAATTTCATTTTTTAGCTTTAGAAGAAAAATGGTTCTTGTGTCCAATTATACTTATCATATGGGTAAAGTAAAAATATTAACTATTGTTCTTACTTAGCTAAATTTTAATAGGGAATATTTTTGATATATAAAAGGAAGTTAAAAAATTTCATATAAGATATAAGAATATTGTATTTCAGGTGTTAAATTAAACATATACAGACTTACATGGGACTGAGGTGCAACAACAATGCTCCCAAACTTTTGAGGAATTTTGTGACTGAAATAATTTTAATTATGTAAAAAAGCATTGAAATGATTAAAAAATGTGATGCCTAAAAGGATGCTTTTGTTCTTTTTAAATATTATAAGCAATAATTATTGTTTTGGAAAAGAAAAATATCTGATCACCTATGAAAATAAAATACTCCAACTGAAGTAAACTGGTGGTGATATGCTGAAGGGCTGTCCCTTGGTAGACCGCTACAAAATCCATCAGGAATTGGCACAATCTCATGAGATACCTAAAGACAAGTAAACAAATAAAAACTCCCTGTACAAGTTGATTTCAGATTAATCAAATTCTAAAAGATATATGATAAATACAATGACAAAAAGATGTGTTCAAGTTTCAATAAACTAAACTAGACATGAAGCAGATTTCATCTTATGGCATGAGTTAGTCTAGAAAAAACTATGGATGGTAAGCACTATGATGTGTTTGTAGCTCCAGGACATCCATGTGACACAGGTCAAACACTTGAACCTAAGTCTTGCAGGTGAGCAACTCAGCATAACACGACTGGACAAACCTGTGACATGAAACCTGCTCATGTCCAGCTGCCACAACAATGAAACCTGCTCATGTCCAGCTGCCACAACAATGAAACCTGCTCATGTCCAGCTGCCACAACAATGAAACCTGCTCATGTCCAGCTGCCACAACAATGAAACCTGCTCATGTCCAGCTGCCAATGAAACCTGCTCATGTCCAGCTGCCACAACAATAAAACCTGCTCATGTCCAGCTGCCACAACAATAAAACCTGCTCATGTCCAGCTGCCACAACAATGAAACCTGCTCATGTCCAGCTGCCACAACAATGAAACCTGCTCATGTCCAGCTGCCACAACAATGAAACCTGCTCATGTCCAGCTGCCACAACAATGAAACCTGCTCATGTCCAGCTGCCACAACAATGAAACCTGCTCATGTCCAGCTGCCACAACAATGAAACCTGCTCATGTCCAGCTGCCAATGAAACCTGCTCATGTCCAGCTGCCACAACAATAAAACCTGCTCATGTCCAGCTGCCACAACAATAAAACCTGCTCATGTCCAGCTGCCACAACAATGAAACCTGCTCATGTCCAGCTGCCACAACAATGAAACCTGCTCATGTCCAGCTGCCACAACAATGAAACCTGCTCATGTCCAGCTGCCACAACAATGAAACCTGCTCATGTCCAGCTGCCACAACAATGAAACCTGCTCATGTCCAGCTGCCACAACAATGAAACCTGCTCATGTCCAGCTGCCAATGAAACCTGCTCATGTCCAGCTGCCACAACAATAAAACCTGCTCATGTCCAGCTGCCACAACAATAAAACCTGCTCATGTCCAGCTGCCACAACAATGAAACCTGCTCATGTCCAGCTGCCACAACAATGAAACCTGCTCATGTCCAGCTGCCACAACAATGAAACCTGCTCATGTCCAGCTGCCACAACAATGAAACCTGCTCATGTCCAGCTGCCACAACAATGAAACCTGCTCATGTCCAGCTGCCACAACAATGAAACCTGCTCATGTCCAGCTGCCACAACAATGAAACCTGCTCATGTCCAGCTGCCACAACAATGAAACCTGCTCATGTCCAGCTGCCACAACAATGAAACCTGCTCATGTCCAGCTGCCACAACAATGAAACCTGCTCATGTCCAGCTGCCACAACAATGAAACCTGCTCATGTCCAGCTGCCACAACAATGAAACCTGCTCATGTCCAGCTGCCACAACAATGAAACCTGCTCATGTCCAGCTGCCACAACAATGAAACCTGCTCATGTCCAGCTGCCACAACAATGAAACCTGCTCATGTCCAGCTGCCAATGAAACCTGCTCATGTCCAGCTGCCACAACAATGAAACCTGCTCATGTCCAGCTGCCACAACAATAAAACCTGCTCATGTCCAGCTGCCACAACAATGAAACCTGCTCATGTCCAGCTGCCACAACAATGAAACCTGCTCATGTCCAGCTGCCACAACAATGAAACCTGCTCATGTCCAGCTGCCACAACAATGAAACCTGCTCATGTCCAGCTGCCACAACAATGAAACCTGCTCATGTCCAGCTGCCACAACAATGAAACCTGCTCATGTCCAGCTGCCACAACAATGAAACCTGCTCATGTCCAGCTGCCACAACAATGAAACCTGCTCATGTCCAGCTGCCACAACAATGAAACCTGCTCATGTCCAGCTGCCACAACAATGAAACCTGCTCATGTCCAGCTGCCACAACAATGAAACCTGCTCATGTCCAGCTGCCACAACAATGAAACCTGCTCATGTCCAGCTGCCACAACAATGAAACCTGCTCATGTCCAGCTGCCACAACAATGAAACCTGCTCATGTCCAGCTGCCACAACAATGAAACCTGCTCATGTCCAGCTGCCACAACAACAAAAAACAACAAACAACTACCTGTACAATGTTGTGCTGTTTTTTTGTGTTCTGCCACATCCACCAAACTCTGTCGTTGGGTCTGATTGTAATGACGTCTGGTTCAAATCCACTGTCAGTCACATAGATTGTATGATTCTGTAAACAGAACAAACTTACTAAGTAAAGTTATTTTAAAAGTTATGATCAAAAGAACACAATAAATGACCATTTTTAAATTTTAAAATACCCAGATCATAAAAGCGTTGATATAAAATGCTATTACGTTCTAAATTCTAGTATTTTGTAATCAACACTTGAATACAGTTGTCTATTTCAAACTCAATAAATAATAAAAATTTACATAAAAATTAACTAAGTCATTTTCTAATTTATTGTTCTATATGTGTATAACTGCTCAGAAATAGCATAGCACTAGTTTAAACTTTAGACAAATTGTGTTTAGGACACTTAGAAATTTTACATCAGTGAGTTATAACTTGAAATGCTTTATGTTTGAGACTTTAAAAAAACAGAAGTTTTTTGTTTTTTTTTCTCCAAAAAATGAAGTCTTCAAACTTGATTAGCCCAGAATCATCAATATCTGTTGTTAGCTTTCTTGAAATCTACCACAGTGGTTACAAAACAAGCATACAATATATCTAGTATTTTCAGATGCATAAGAAATGTGTACCTTTGGTCCAGGGTTAACAATGACAGAACATGTGCCTAATGTGTTTGTCTTGTCACAGAGTTTGTATGTGTAAACTCCTATGTTGCTGAAGTTAGCAAAAGCTAGGCCTGCTTGAGTCATCCGCCTTAAATCCTCATCTTCAATGTTGTCTGTCTCTAGAGATTAGCAAGAAATATGTTTTTAATTTACAGAAGAATTACCTTAATAAAAAAACTAATAATTGCACTTAATAATCTGTAATTTAGTGTAATATATTCATCACTATGGGATTGAGTTTGCTTAAACAAAATAAATTTATTTTTTCAGACAAGTAAAAGTTAAAGGAATGTTTCAACAACAGATGGTGAAAACAAAGGGATAAATGTCTGACAAAATCAAGAGTATAAATGTTTATTATTCTCACGTTTTTTATCAGCCTCAGGAGCTGGTGGACTGACTACTTTTTGTTCCTCATCAATGCGTAAAATTTTGTTCATTCTCCCGGCATTGGATTCTGGCCATGACATCCAAACCAGGTCACCTGTGTTTACTCTCAGGATGTCTGGGTAATAAAAGACAATTATAATTGATCGTTAGCTTGAAATATTGATAAAAATATAAACCTAAATGCAATTTTTGTAAGTATTATTTTATGCTACCAGTGACATTGTTTTCCTTATAATAATTTAAGTAATAAAACTTCAAACAAAGGCTGGTGGGAGTAGATGAGTATAATTATTTTTGTCAGTATACTCAGTTCATTTTCTACCACTTTTTTTGTCCCCATTTCAGGGTAACTTACAAACTCAAATCAGAATCAGAAATCCAACTTTTGCAATGGCAGTCATGTGCTCTGCCACTCAGCCACATTGTCCCACTAAGGACAACTTATGAAAAAACTTTACCTGGATCAAATCCACTTTCTTTGACTTGGATTATGTGCTCTTTTACTCTTGGCCTGACAATAATTGTACCAATATACATGGCAGCCTCATCATAGTTTTGATCAGAGTAGTAGTAGACTCCATGTTTGGTGAACTTGTGACTCATCAGACCTTGTTTACTGGAGTCATCAACATTTGGTAATCAGTCACATGTCAAACATTTAACTATGTGATTGTAATATTCAAAATCTAGGTTTTTAAAGAAAGTATGACTTTAAGATCAGAAAAGTACAGAAAAGTAAAAGTTTCTGATGGATATCGTGACATTTAGACAAGATATGTTTTTACTGTCGAGCTAAGTCCAAAATTGTGTTACTTTTTGTCTTTTCTGTCTAATCTGTAACCACACTATTGTGTGCTGATGAAGACCTTGGGTCAAAACGTCCATAGTATTTGTAACTGTCTTTAACTTGTGAGGTAACTAACACTATCTGTTTTATTACTAAGTTTCTGATAGTAAACATTTCAAGAGGACAACAAGCTGACAAAAACATTAAGCAAAGCATTTTTTGTTTGTAATGTAGTTATGACAATAAATTTTAACAGCTGACATGCTTAAAAAAGTTTTGGAATTGGAAGACTAGAAAACAAATTTTGAGACTATCAGACATTGTTACAATGATAAATTCTTTTAGTTACAGTAAAATTCTGAGAGAAATTGTTTTTAAAAATAGGCTTAATAGTACACAATTTAATAATAACATTACTAATAATTTAAAAATTAAAAATTTAGAAATTAAAAAAAAAAAGGTTCTAGCATAAAAATAAGTATTATGCATCAGAAAGGAAATTTGTTCATTACCTTGGATTGTGTGGCCATTTAAATCCATCTTGGGTTGGCTGTAATTAGTTAATTTAGCTGTTATGTAAGGCTTTAAATAACATATTAGGTTAACCTCTAAACAAAAGCTAAAATAGTAGTTCAGGTCTTTATTTTACATTCTAATTAAGGGTTAATCACCCATGCAGCGTTGGCTCTTTATTTAAGCTGTTTTAAAAAAAGTTGATGTTTAAATTAAATGATTATGTGAATGTATACTGACTTGATAAGGGGAATCCTCTTGCTCCTCACAAGATGGTGCATCCATCTGGTAAATATGGTGAAGTTTCTTGCACTGTTGGCAGAGACCATCTCAATTACATGCAACTTTAAAACAAATCTGAACTTGACATTTAACCAATTAATACAAAGCTATTAAAAACATACTCAAAATAAATTAATTCACATTAAGTTCTTGAGCTTATCATGTTTTAAGAAATATCTCCATAAAATGTCTAAGAAGTTTATACATCTTTAATAAAAATAGATTTGAGGTTAGTTAGATTTTAATTTTATTTGGAGCTAAGCTACTAAAGCTAAATTTCAATGACGGTCAGTGACCTCACCTTTTCCCTGTTCCATTCCCACCAGACACGATCTCCTTCTTCCACCAAAAGTATCATGGGAGAAAAGGTCTGGTCAAGAACTTCTATTTTATACTCACTGAAATAGTGCATTACACAAGTGCTGATTTTCTTCTAATAACATTAAACTAAACAACGAACAGTGTACCTAATTTGTTTCAATTATATTTTTATCTGTCCTAAAATAACTTGAAACACAGAGTAAATAATTGTTATCAATTTAAAATAAGCAAATTTATAATTACTTGGATGTATATTTGACATGCACTATACATAAATGAAATTTGTCTGAATCTGGTTTTTCAGTCTGGAAGTAATAAAGACCAGGTTTCCTGAAATAGAAGGGGAAAACATTTTACACTAAAGCTAAATATATGTACAACATTTGTTTCAAAGCATTCTAATTATTTTATTTTAAAAGATTATCACTTGATTTATCAAAATTGTTGATTTATAAAGTGCTTTGTATACTGCTGATTATTATTAGTTTAATAATAAGGCAAATTTAAGGCACATCTAAAGATAATGCACATTTTCAAATTGAAAATTGATATTTTAAAACTATGGTTTTATGTTTAATGGGTTTATTATAGACTTTTTTTATTAAAAAGGCAAATGTCAAAAAAAAAAAAAAACCATTCCCTAATGATAAAATTAAAGGATTTATTAACCAATGAAATTATGCAACCTACTTAAACTGTTGTCTGTGTGTCCCCGAGCTAGTGGCTACATTGCTTTGTTCCTTCTCCCCTTGTCTAAAGCACCGGGACTCCATACTGTAGTACACCTCTGTAACCTTGTGGGGGGTGGAACAAGACTTCCATGACCACCTGACCACTTGACCTTGACCAATGTGCAGAACAGATGGGCTAAAGCCTTCATCTGTAACCTCAATGAAGTGGTCCAGCCGTTTCTTGACTGTCACTGTAAATGGCGTGCAGCGTATCTGACTTCTGTAGAGGTACAAGAGAGAAGTCAGAATCTATCTTCATAACTTCACATGTTTGTCTGGTGTTGTTGTGAGTTTACAATGGTACCTGACCTACTGTATCCTTCCACCCCTTTTGGTTCTTTAAATATTACCTCCCTTTGATATATTTATATTGTTAGAATGTTCATCAAACAGAGAGTGGAAAATTTTAAATATTTTCCCTGACAATTGTTGTTATTCCCTGTCAACAATACTAAATGACAATAAATAATTAGCACCTGATATTATGTGAGTTGTGACTGAGGCTTAGGCAAACAATTAAATACACATTTTCAAAAGTTAGGTAGTTTTTATCATATAGGCCTATATAAGCAGATTTAATGAATGTAACTTGTGTTGCAGTACTCACATTGAAAATTTGTACTGTCCTTCCAAATTAAACATTTGCTTAAAAGTCCCATCAAGACCTTTGACACCACCATAGCCTCCAACAACTGGCCGCAGTTTTTCCCCATCGTTTACAACCTGCAATTGATTTTTAAAAATTAAAAATGTAAAAATATTTTATTATGGAATATTACCATTCATTGTCAGCTAAATAATACAAAACTACACTGTGACAGTGGCACACTAATATTTATAAATCTGTTCATATTGTAGGTTTGCAAAATCACAATATTTTTTTAAAATTAATTTCCAACTAATTTATAAAAGTAAATGATCAACAAATCGGCAATGCAAAGGATGGACAAACTTACTTGAACTAAATTCGTAGCTGTTGCAACAGCATCATCCCAATATAAAGTTATTTCCTTCAAACAGATAACAATTTAAAGTTACGTAAAAAATTCAATAAATAATAATTTTTAAAAACATATTTTTAATACAAATGCTCAATGCCAAAATTAGGCCTACAGATTATTATTGAAAGATAGTTACAACTAATTTAAAAAGATAGGCCTAATAGGAAAAAGACTTGAAATTAAGCAATTATTCTAAATATATTTTTTTCAGTAATGACAAACAAAATTAATGAAATTATATGATTTTATTTTAAAACAAATTCAAGTTTTGTAACACCACAACTAGAATCTAGAAATTACCTCCCCTTCCGTCAGCACGACTTCGCTAGGAATGAATCCATCTTTTGTCACCTGGACATGGTGACCTGAGTTACTTTCTACTGCAAGTGTAAAGCATTGCTTGGGAAACTTATTCTGCTTATGTTTTTATTGTCTTACTTTGAAAAAATCAACTTGCTGAAAATAGCTCTACATAAAACTAAAAGTTAAGATCTTGTCCAGATAAACCCGCCACTAACAAGAAAAAAGTGCCCGGGTGAAAAGTTAAGCCCCGCCACTTTTTGCAAAGTCCTAATGCACGCACGCAACCTTGACCTATTTCTGATGTCTAGACAATTGAATATTTAAACGCACGCCATAAAAACTCCTTATCCACCTCTATGTTTAGGGTTAAAGGTGCCAAAATACAGACCTTTTCATGCAAATTATTAATGCCATGCCCCAGTTTCACCTTCTTCAATCACATCTAAAAGTACGACTTTTTTTTATAACATCTTTTTTATTATTTTTTCCGGGTGGCGGAGGCGGGGCTTATCTGGACAAGATCCAAAAGTTATCTAGATTCTAACAAAACTGAATGGTGACGAATACATGGACTCACCATCCACTATTTGGGACCTTGAGTTTAGAGCTGGGAGTGACTTAACCAGAACAGCAGAGTTGTCGTACGTGATGTCTTCTCTAGAGGCTGATGCAGCGGTCCCCATTGTCAGGCCTGTTGGAGACAACAGTTGTGTCTATAGTCATGATATGGTTGAATGTTTTGTTTAGACAACAGTTGTGTCTAAAGTGGTGATATGGTTGAATGATTTGTTTAGACAACAGTTGTGTCTATATTCATGAAATATCTATTTTTTATACAACATTTGTGTCTGTAGTCATGATCTGATTGAATGCTTTGTTAAGACAGAGCTGCCTTTCGACTATCCAAGATATGCCTGAATGATTTGCTTTAAACTTTAGAAAGATCCGCACCGCTAGAATATCCAAGATATGGTTGAATGATACCCCTGTGATTTCTTCAACAGGAAAATACTTACATTATATCCGTGTGTAGCACTGATATCATAAAACAATAAAAGACACACACACCACTTACATGTTTAAAGCAGAGATAGTTACGGTATATTGATGGTTAAGAGTTATAGTTATATTGATTTTGTGAATGTAGTGAACTGGTTGACAGTGGTGTAGGCAGGGGGGTTAGGGGGGTTATAACCCCCCCCCCCATAGACCCTTCGGTATATATATAAAGTATGAGGGGGGTGCAAATCGAAAGTTTGAGGAGGGGGGGGGGTGCAAATCAAAAGTTTGTCCCCGGGTAAAAATTGGAACCCCCCCCCTTGAGACGATCCTGGTTACGCCACTGCTGGTTGATATGACCACTGCCACCATTAGGCCTATGATTTTATCAGTAACGTAGTAAAATTGAAAGCGATTGAAGGCTACACCACGTGATTAACGTCCGGTAGAATACTTCAGACAACCCATGTAGTCTGGGAAAAAATCTCATCGTCAAAAGTCACGTGGTCAGTTTATGACAAGGTCACGGGCACTAAAGCATGAATAATTTTACTTGTCTGTCTCATTGTTTGAGCCTCTCTCCCACCCTTGTCGCTAGTCAGCCCTCCCTCCCCTTATGTGAGTATTGCAAGTTACGTAATTTATGGACAAAGCCCCCTCCCTCCCCGTGGTTAACTCCTATGTATGTGCTACTAGAAACACATGTATACGAATGTTATGTTGTGCGGCTAATCTGGATCTTTACACGTACATTGACTACTACAGCCGATATACGAGACAGCTTCAGCATAAGATAAGACAGCTGTACGTTGGCATTCTTCGGACGGAATTCCTGTTATAGTTTTCTAGATTCTTAAACAATAAATAACTATAGTCGAAACGTCTGCCCTCCCCCAATCCCCACCCTGCATACACTCTCAGGCTCTCTGGATGAAGCATGTTTAACTTGTCAAATGATATTTTCGTGGTATTTATGTCGCCGTCAAACATGGATATATCCATCATTTATAGTCTGAGCTTTATCGATGTAATACAACGTATTACACATCTGTGTAATACAACGCATGTATCAATTGTATCTCTGTAATACACCGCATGTATCAATCATATATCTGTAATACAACGTATGTTCATTTACATCCCTGTAATACAACGCATGTATTAATCATGTATATCAATTAAGTCAAAATATAATCTGTACCGTCCCTGACTTTAACGTCTAGCAACTAGTCGCGTTGTTCCCTAACACTGAATCGACAGACCATTAATAACGTGTTCATAATTTGCTCCTACATTAAAATTCATTAATGTTTGAGTGTGAATGGTTACTTAGCTATGTGTTCATGGATTTCTCTACACACCAAACACGGTATAAATTTAACTTTCGACCCAAGCCGTATTTACTTTTCTTCTTCACGAAGCAGCGAGACATTCGACAGAAGGTGACACGTGTGAGGGGGTGTAGCTGTGACAAGAAGTTATTGTCACTTTGTTTTAACTCATTTTATCTCGTTTTGTTTGATCTCATCATATTTTATCTCGTTTTTATCTCATTGTATTTTAATCTCGTTTTATATCATCGTATTGTATCTAAACTAGAGATGACAGTAAATGGCAGAAAGCACAGCCTGTAAAACCTGCGTGCAGGTTCCTTATATCTCTAATCAATTATTTAGCTGCCGGTGATTTAAAAAAGGAGAAAATTAAACCGCCTTCCATCGCAACAGGAAGCCACTGTTTGTACTATAATAATGACTTTTCCTCCACTGTTTGTACTATAATAATGACTTTTCCTCCACTGTTTGTATTATAATAATGACTTTTCCTTCATATTTAATTAATTCACGTTCATTACAAACATGGGGTATCAAAACTAGTGGGGAGAAGAGGGTGGGGGGGGGGGGGGTTGGTTAGAATACCTCGGGTTAGCTAAGTGAATCAATTCGTTCTAAAAATCATCGTTTAAAAGTATACTTCTGACTAACCTATTATAATATAACTTAACATTGTCAGTATTGTAAAGTAATAGTAGCCTTTACAAACTTCATATCTGACTAACCTATTATAATATAACTTAATATTGTCAGTATTGTAAAGTAATAGTAGCCTTTACAAACGTCATATCTGCGTGTAGGGAGTGTTATGTAGCGACGGGTGTTGCCTCTCTATGTTCCAGTCACCAAAGCGCCACACCACATGTCTGTGTCTATAAACGGTATTCACTCTACAAGCGACTATGGCCTTTCGATCACTTCATTTTGTTTTCTATTCATTAGCCTAGTTCAGTCCACATGATACGACATGTGAGTTGCGGCAATCCCCTTTTAAGTATACAGGCAGGTCAATAGCAGAGGAATTCACACTATTAAAAGGCTATCGAAGCAATCAAAAATTCCCACAAAGTGTCAAGTTTCAATTTACATTTATTTCCCATTAAATTAATAGGCCTACGTTTCTACTGTTCAAAGAAAGCACATCAAAGCTTAGTTTATGCTGCCAATATGCCACTACCAAAAGTGCAGCAGTCCAATGAAAAAGTTCCTTCATTTTACAAAATTAAATATCTTCCAAAACCATAAAAAGTCAGTGCATATAACAAAAACCTGTTCTAAAACCGCACAAAGTCTATTGAAACAACAAAAACATAATCCAAAATCCAAAAACCACCAAAAGACTATTTATACAACAAAACAGGTCTGCAAAAACTCACCAAAAGTCTATTGATACAACATAAATCTTTTCCAAAACCACCAAAAGCATAGGATAAAACAAAAAACCTCTGCATTCTGCCAAAACTCACCAATAGTCTATAGAAACAACAAAAACCTCTTCCAAACCCTCCAAAAGTCCATTGATATAATTATAAATCTAGTCTATTGACACAATTAAAAAGCTTACCAAGTATCGAAACTAACTCGGACCACAGCAGACAACTTTAGGCAAGAAATAAGTTTCAGGCAACATCCTGGCAAGCAAGGATATTAAGTCTTCATGAAATCAACATTCTGAAACTCATTCGTGCCCTCAGGAGCCTGTTGGTTAATTCAATATTCATGTGGCCGCGCCTCTTCATTTCATCAACCAATCGATACCAACAGCAAGTTTCTACGCGGCTTGATCACTTCTCTTCCATCTTTGCAAGAGAGTTTTGACAAAAAGAATTTCTAAATAATTCTTTCAACCTCGTGAAAGAGAAAACAAATCTGTCGCTATTTGTAAAATATCTATTAGGTTTATCTTTATTCTTTACGCAACGAGGACGACATTACTAGATCTAGATCTAGTCATATTTGTAAAATTTTTAAACTTCTAGTTAACCATTGGCTGAAGAAACTTGTAGTTGGTTTCCAGGTTTAGAGATTAAGAAAAGGTTGATGCAGGCGGAAATAGACAGAGTTGATGGGGTAGTTTCTATAGCGACTGGGAGACATCAGGTCGATAATCTCACACAGACTCATGTCATTTCTGTTTGAAGTTACATAACAGATTGATAGGATCTGTGTAGTGAGTGTTGGGGCGCCAATCAGCCGTGGCGTGCTCGTCATGACAACAAGCTCAAGAAACGGAGAGGAATCCGAATACAAAATGAAGTTCGATTCAGTTTTGTTTACACATTGCGAGACGATTCACCCTGGAGGAATTTCAAGAGTTTTTTTTTCCCCCAATACAATTTTTAAATTTACACAAGGCGTATTTGATATAAACACAAGCTAATATTAAGGCGTGTGCGTTGGAGAATGATCAAATATACACACTTAATTTACAAAGAAAAACGTGAATTTTGTTTTCCCACGTTTTCTTTAACTTGCTTTCGCCTCTGTTTGTTTGTTTGTTTGTTTTTCCAATCAAATCTTGCGATCGAAATTTCGGGCACTTCCCAGTTAGCTAGCGCGCTGAAATTTTCAGGGAAGCTTTGTTACCGATGACAATTGAATATTCAATTTTTATTATTACTAAATTGATCCATGGAAACATTTTATTGATCATTGTAGACCACTATATAATTGTACAAAAAACGTGGGAAAAGGGGACATAACCCAGTCATTGTAATTTGATGAAAACAAGGTTCGGTACTCTCTCTCTCTTTTTGCTTACTGAGTAGTGTTCACGTGGTGTTTGTGTACAAACAACCGGAACAACTGGTGGCCAGTATGGGGGAGACGATATGGTCGAGTGGTTGGGCACACGATTGCTAACCCACTCGACACGGGTTCAAGGCTCGTATTTTTTACGAGTTGTCTTCGTTTACCCAAAAACAAAAGTGAATGCGAAAAGATAAAATCGATAGCAAGATTTTAAAGCAAACAAACAGACAAAGACTAAAAAGTAGAAAATAATTATCATTAAAAAAGTTTAAATAAACCCACGTTTTCTGATTGAACTAAAAAGTAGAAAATAAATGCTATACATCACAATAATGCAAGCGATCACTCTACTATAAGCGATGAAAAACGTGGGGCGCCGTGATTTTCTTACAGTTTCTAATACTGTTGACTCTCTACAAGCTCCCTAATAAAAGTCAATAGTATTATCTAATCAATAGTAATATAACTTTTACTTCGGCGCCCCACGTTTTTCCTCGCTTATAGTAGAGTGATCGCTTGCATTATTGTGATGTATAGCATTTATTTTCTACTTTTTAGTTCAATCAGAAAACGTGGGTTTATTTAAACTTTTTTAATGATAATTATT